GGAGCACCCACAGGGACACATATATCGAATAAACCTCAGTTACTGCACAAGGTAAGTAACCTTCTCTTTTAAAACAACCCACAAACATTTAAGTACAAAAACAAGAAGTCTGCTGGTGGGATGGAATTTAATATGAATGTGACTTTTAAACAAACTATCTAGTAAATAATGATGGGACTCACAAAACCGTATTATCTACCCAAAGTAGTGAAATCGTTTCTATTTATAATCTCTTCATTCTGTTAATAAACCACTAAACATATGGAGCGCAAACAAAACAGATGGGGGGATTTCCCACCACTGGTTTCTTTCTTATAATGATGGTTATTTTCAATTCACAAAACTCTCAGCTGTCATCTCTGATTTATTTTCTCAGCAAATTTCGGTTTGGGTTACATTGCTACTAGCTCTGGTGCATTTCTTTACTCGTGATTCCCACTCCCACTGCCTGTGCATGGAGCAGCCAACCAAGATTCGTGCCTATAATAGCCCCCTCCCCCTTTGCATTATTCTCTCTAACAATGCCTGAACGTTTTGTGGTTCGCATTTGGGTTGGAGCATGATAAGAAATGTATCGAAGGAAACGTATTATTCGTTTTGTTATTCGCTTTCAAGCTTCCTCCTTTTCTCAGTTTTGTCCGTTTGGGGGCGGGGAAGCTATTCGGGATAGAAGGCGCTCCCCCCCCCACCCCCGCCCTCAATGTTTAATCCTCTCTATTAATAATGGATTTTTTAAACCTATAAAGCCATCCCAGCACAGCCCCTTTGAAAGAATCGCTGTCTCCAGTCTCGGCCGGCCAGCGAGCCATCCCTTATTTGCTGCACAAACTGCTCCCGCCCTTTGTCCCTCCTCTCCCTCCCCCGCCCCCGTGTACTACTCGATGCAGTGGGAACCCAGCCAGCTCCGCTCCGCGCGCTGCACACACACCAAGGGCGAGGAAATTGCCTTGCAATAAACAATAGCCTCCTGTCGCTGCACCGCCAGCGCCTCCTGCCGAGGTCAGCCCCTCGGGAGCTGTCCAGCCCCGCCGGGAGCGCGCCACTCCGCAGCTGCAGCCAGAGGGGCGGCTGTGTGTGCAGCCTGGCTTGCGGAGCTCCGCCGCCTCCGCCCAGCCAGGCGCTGTCCCTCCCCCGGGGTGCTGAGCCGGAGCGCCGGGGGCCACCCTGGGGCATGGGAAGGGAAGGCGGCAGCGAGCGCCGTCCTCGCCCCGCGCCCCGCCTCGGCGGGCCTGTCTGCTGACCCGGCCGGCCAGGCCATGGAAGAGGAGCTGAAGTGCCCGGTGTGCGGCTCGCTGTTCCGGGAGCCCATCATCCTGCCCTGCTCCCACAACGTCTGCCTGCCCTGCGCCCGCACCATCGCCGTGCAGACGCCCGAGCGCGAGCAGCACCTGCCCGCCTTGCTGCAGCCCCGGGCCCCAGCGGCGGCGGCAACCGCGGGGGCGGCGGGGCCCGGGCCGGCGGCGGGCTCGGAGGCTGAGTGCGCCGCGGGGGGCGGCGGCGGGGAGCACGCGGACAAGCTGAGCCTGCACAGCGAGAGCGACAGCGGCTACGGCTCCTACACCCCCAGCCTCAAGTCCCCCAACGGGGTGCGGGTGCTGCCGCTGGGGCCGGCCCCGGCCGGCTCCTCCTCGGCGGCTCTTCCCCGCGGGGCGGGCCCCAGCTCGTCCCTCACCTGCCCGCAATGCCACCGCAGCGCCTCCCTGGACCCGCGCGGCCTCCGCGGCTTCCCGCGCAACCGGCTGCTGGAGGCCATCGTGCAGCGCTACCAGCAAGGCCGGGCCGCCGCCAAGTGCCAGCTCTGCGACCGCAGCCCGCCCGAGGCGGCCGCCGTGGCGTGCGAGCAGTGCGAGGTGCTGTACTGCGCCGCCTGCCAGCTCAAGTGCCACCCGACCCGGGGGCCCTTCGCCAAGCACCGCCTGCTGCCCCCGCCCAGCCTCCCGGGCGGGCCCGGCAAGGCGGTGGGGGGCGCCCGCAAGTTGCCCACCTGCGCTGATCACGAGCTGGAGAACTACAGCATGTACTGCGTGAGCTGTGGCACCCCCGTCTGCTACCAGTGCCTGGAGGAGGGCAAGCACGGCCAGCACGAGGTGAAAGCCCTAGGGGCTATGTGGAAACAGCACAAGGTAAGCCCAGGGGCGTAGGGGTGCACCCCTGACCCAAGCAGCACGGCCCTGCCTTCATGGCCAGGGGGAAAGTCTCTGATCATTAGCTCCACTCACCTCTTCTCCAGTGCCCTCCAGCTCGGGACCTCCAAGCACTTTCCACAGACTGGGGCTCTGTTTTGGCTTTTGCAACCCTCCTCTGCGCCAAGATCATGCTGAGGTGGGAGGAGACAAAGGTGGCTCTCAGCTACCTTTACTCCTCCCCCATTCCTGGAGCAGGCAGGGGGTTGAACTGGCCCTTTGCTCAAATTAGAGCAGCCCCAGGACTGCTGCAATTTATGCTGTCTAGAAGAGTCCCCTAGACAACGTTGGTTCTGGAAAGCCCCCGGCACACCCCTGAGACATTCCCAGAATGTCTCCTCCCAACTCCAGCCAGCCCCAACACACCTTCTGTGCAAGGGGTGTGGGGGGGCTGATATAAAGCTGGCTACACCAGATATACCCCACCCAAGATTCCCCTGTATTGGAGGAATCCTGTTACCCCTTCAGGGCAGCCGTACAGTCACTTCATGCCACCAGAGTAACACAGTGTATCTTTAATGGGGCCCAGGATCTAGCCCCACAATGAGGAAGAAGTATTCTATGTCAGTGACAGTTCTTGTTGATGGTAGTTAAGGATGGAGAAGGTGAGGGTCCACATTAATCCAAAAACTAGTGATGGTAGTGTTTGGTTAAGGGACAGATGAAGGCTTGGCCAGTTCAGAGATTGCTACAGTCTGGTTCACTCATCCCTAGTATTGATACTCATTGTAATTTGAACCATTCAGGGAACTTGTCTGGAGGCTTTGGGAGATAGTACTTTCACATAAGAGGGGGTTTTCTGATATTTGTGTGCAAGATGGAGCTGCTGGGTAGTTTGATCATGCAATCTTTTTATATAAAAAGCTGGGGTGGTTTCATATACTTTTTGGATAGAGACCAAGAGATGATTATTTTAAAATTGATTTGAAGCTTGTCAGTCTTGCCAGGAAGCCTGAACACTGACTTGATTAAGAATTAATGATTAATATTTTACATGTATAGAGTGCTTGTCATCCTCAGCACATTACAATTATCCATATAGCAGCACTGAGGAGGGTCCCTCCCTCATGAAGGGAGAGCACCCGACTGCTACATTCCTTCAGGTGGGGCAGCTTGCTTCCTTCTGTTGGCTACTGCAGAGGAAAGGCTTGCCTCCTCCCTATTCCCTTTGGTATGATTAGCACCTTTGGGGGGTAATGAGAGGGTCTGTGATCATTTTTGGCTACTGCATAGGGGTAGAAAATGCATCACTTCTTGTGCCCTGATCCCGGGCTCCCCACACAGTAATGCTGATGTAGAACACACAGGGCTTCAATTTGTAAAGACTCATGAAAAGATCCCACATGGCATCAGCTGCACAGAACTTTGTTTATTGATCAGAAGAATGAATGAGTGAATCAGCCCTGATAGTACTTCAATTTGTGTTTCAACAGAGTTAAGGTATTTCCAGCTAAGGACTTACTTAGACCACTAAACCATCTCCTGAATAACTTGATTTTTTTGTGTTCGGGAGTTAAATTCACTTGACTCATAAGCTTTAGGTCATGAATTCACAGCTTTTGCCATTTATGCTAATTGCAGAATCTGATTTTGGGTGGAAAGTCTTCATTAAGGAGTCTACTGAACCCCTGATGAACAATGATTGATTTCAATATGCAGAAGTGGTTAGTGTTTTGTAGATTGTGAAGCCAGTTTGTGTTCAACTAGAGTCTACTTGTGTTACAACTGATTAACGCCTTTTGAAATGGTGTGATAAACTGTGGTGCTGATCAAGATACATTGTAAATCATTTCTCATTCTTACAAACTTTGTCAGAGGAATGAACTAAATTCTGTTGTTTTGTGTTTTCACTGCATTTTTGCTCCTGAGAGTGTGTCCGCACAGAATGTGATTTTCCCTTGTTATATATAGTTTGAATGTTATGATAAAGGTTCTAAAGGGAACAGTAAAATAACCTAAAATTAACTAATTTTTGTGACAGTAGTAATCTTTTCATGTCTTGTAAGTTTTAATTATCCTAGAACAATATACTTGGCAGGAAATAAAAATATTGAAACTGCCAACAGGAGCCAGTCTAACCCCTCATTTCATGTTTATTTTCAGATAGTTGGATTTTGGAATTGAATATTTGTAGTTGGACCTAAGTAAGTTTTCAGATGCAGTAATTTACACTTACTGCCTCCTGGGTCCTGTAACTTTGGCCAACCATAAATTAAAGTGTTGTATTTAGAATTATATGGCAAATTTAATTGTTTGTACATGTTATTGCTAGATAGTCTAGCTCATCCGCCATGAGCATTTTGTAGTCATATTAGTTTAATGAAGATACTTTCCCCTAAAATATATATAGGAATCTGCCATAAGTAAATTATTTTGGAGAAGTTAGAAATTATGTAATATACGAACACAGAGCCAGCTCCTCAGTTGGTATAAATCAGTGGAGGCTCATTGATTTATATCAGCTGAGGTTCTGGTGGGAAGGCTTTAAAGGGATTGATCAAAATTGTGTTCTCCTATTGTTGGAGGGAAGGATATTGTACTTTGTGTATGTACAGCACCTAGTATGATGGAGCCATGATCACATTTGGGATCTCTAGGCTCTACTGTAATACAAAAATATTAATAATATTACTGACGATAGATTTAAATTTGTGGGCCCTTTGACTCACAGGTATGAGGAAGCACAGTGAACAAGTCTCAGTTCTGCAACTTCTGTTGAGTCCTGCCATGTAGATCAAAAATATAACTATTGTGCATGTGTGATCTTGTAGTAGAGATGACATCAGGAACTTTAATTGGACAGGTGTTTGTTTAGGACACTGATGCATAGGGAGATGAGCAAGTAGTTGAGGGAAAATATTGGAGTAAGGATGCATCTTTAGAAGGTAGACCAGAATTGCCCCAAACCCCTACCCTCAGGAGCGCCACCAGCTTTTCTGCCACCCTAGGCGGCGGAAGGTCCCGCCCCGAAATGCCGCCCCCCCACAGAGGCAGCGGAAGGTCCCGCTGCCTAAATACCGCTGCGGTCGCCACCCCCCAAATTGTAGCGCCCTAGGCAACTGCCTAGGTCGCCTAATGGATTGCGCCGGCCCTGCCTACCCTCCATTCCCAGAAACTTGGAAGCTCTTTAAGAATTCAGAGCCTGGATCATATGATGTAATCAGTAGTTAATCTGCTATGATGATAGATGGAGAAAAAGAAAGGTAAATGAGCAATGAACTTTTCTTTTGAAAAAGAATGATAGAATTATCTGTCTCATTTTCTAAAATCAGGGAAGACATCAGTCTTCTATGCCTAGCTAGATTTGATTACTTGTCCTCCTTGTTATCTGTCTGTTACTGTATTTGATAAGAGTATAACCTTTTTACCCATCTACAGAATCCTTATTTCATTGCTGGACCCAGATATTAAAATTAAGATCAATGTGGATAGAACAACATTTGTCAGGAATTATTAATTGTCATGGTTAATGGAGCTTGTAACTTGCAGTTCAGCTTCAAGCAAATCCTTCCACCGTTTGAAAGAGAGCTCTGAGTGTACAGGGTGCATTTTATAGTGGCTTATGGAGGTTTTAGGCATCTGAATCCATTTTGTTTTAATGGAAAGTACATGGCTAAATCCATTTGCTTTAAAAACTACCCTATAAATGTTTTAATAAACAAGGCTATCATCTCTAAATGGGTTTAGTGATCAGAAAACTGGCTTTCATATTCTACTTGCAGTAGCACAACTACAATTATTTAATGAGTGAAAAAGTTTGGTCAAGTTATTTGATCAATTTCTTTATCAAGTTTATGTACAGGGTCTTCTTCATGGTGGCTATATATGAGGAGCTGAGACTGAATGTGCTCAGTTACATTAATATCCATGTAGTTGATGATTGCTCTGGATTGACTCAGAATTTAATGGCTGCCATGATAACTAGGGGACAATCCCCAGTTTTTGGCCCCATCCATACTGTGGGATGCATTGTGCTCTGATGTTGGGGATGGGATTAGATGTTGGAGTGGTGGCAATTATATTTTTGTCATGGACTAACTATAGTCGCCTTTGTTTTGTGGCTGAGGCATACCTGTCCTGTTGGGACCATTCCACTAGCCACTGATTGGCAGAGCACATCACACTCCAGCCCCACTCTCTCCTTACTTTGTTACACCATTCCATCACATTCCCACCTGGTGCTGGCAAAAATATGTCCTGTTGGTGAGGTACAGGCACGTGACCAAAAGGAATGTAAAACTGGGGGAATCTTCACCAGCCCCTTTGTGATGCTCTGGTGGTACACAGGGACCTTATCAAGGGATAAGGATTTGGTCCAATGAGCCTGGTAAATTTTTGGACCAGACATTGTTACTTCAAATTTTGTGAAATGCCAAGAATTTGAGTAGGAAAAAACACATACATAAGTACTGACAGCAATAATGTAATTATTATAGCTCTTCCTATTAGATTAGTTACAAGTTAATTGTAGTAGAGGATATTCTATTTTCAAATTTGGTACCAGTACAATACATGTAACTGGGCTTAATATGGAACATTTCCATGAAGAGAAGGGTAAACATTAGGGTTGATTCTTCTTTAAGCCTTCAATGCTATGTCCCATTATAGGCCAATTTGTGCCTACTCCTAATGTGGCTCTCTAAGGTAAGACCCTCCTGTGGTTGTGTTAGAGCTTCCTACCTCATCAGTCAAAGCATAGGAAATAGAGCAGAAGGAGCAGCGCACCCAATGTCTTCCCTCTCCCAGTTGACCATGTGCATAGGGAGGGAGGGGCAGAGGACGGGTAGAGCAGGGGAGGGGTTGGGTAGAGCGGAGCTGGCACAAGGGGGAAGTGAGCTGTGCCCTTGTCAGGGTAGCTGTAAATCACTTCCCCTCAGGAGCAAGCAGAGAATAAATGGTAACTTCGACTCATATCTACAAAGGTACGTAGGTGCCTAAACAACAAAGTTAGGTATCTAAGTCCCAGTTCTGGCTCCACTGCGAGCCACAAAACTCCTGCCAAACTCTGTAGGTCCCTGAATTCACTTGGCACCTAAGATTTTGGAGTAATCTACCATTTTACTGTAGATAAATATTTAAACAGCTACTGAGGTAGAAAGAGAGAGAGAGAGAATACCTAAATACCTTTGTGGATCTGGGCCTAAGTGCTAACATTGTAGTAAGAGACCAATGGCAAGATCTTAAGCTAGTGTAAATTGGCATAGCTCCATTTGCTTCAATGCAGCTACATCAATTAACAGCAGCAGAGGATCTGGCTCATAGTATATTTTCCACAAGCTGTTTTAATGAAGCACTGCTGGTTGATATAGTATTGAAAGAGTTCCTGAGGTTACATCAGCCATAACATAACACAAAACATAGTGCTGTTGACAATTAGACAGTTTTGCTATTCTGCATCTGTAGTATGTTGGTTAAATATACTCTAGAGCCTGATCATGCAATCTTATCTGTGAGGGGGCAAAGGTCATTGAAGCTCTATGCAGGGGCAAGGGTCTGCTTCCATGGATGCAATTACAGGACCAGGGCCTTCATGTGTACTTTTCAGAGAAATAATTTAATGCACTTTTGTGTGTGTTACATCAATATGGTTGTGTAAGATACTGCACGTGTTTAAGGTTGTTATCAAGTAAACAAGATGGGTGAGATAGTATCTTTTATTGGACCAACTTCTGCTGGTGAAAGAGACAAGCTTTCGACCTTACAGAGAGCTCTTCCTCAGCTGTGGGAAAGGTGTTCAGAGTATCACAGCTAAATACAAGGTTATCAAATGCCATGTTTTATACTTTGAGGAATAATATGTGGTCATGTAAAGATAATTGTAGTACATATGCACAAAGGGGTGGAGTTAACATTGCTTAGTCTTGTGGCTAGAATTCTAGTTCAAATATCATGTAAAATTCACCTGTTTAAGATAATGTTTTGTTTATGAATAATTTAAAGTTGTCATACAATGGTGAAAGTACATATTTTTTTTCACCCTCTTGTAACTCAAAATGAGTAAAAGAATTCTTCCAGAAATATTCACCTCTGGGTTAAGTTGAAGAATGGATGCTTTCAGCCCCCAAATAAATTTTTACACAGTGTTAAAAGACTATACAAACAGGGGTTTGTAATGAAAGTTCTAATATATTTTAACTGTAGCTGACACTACAAAGTTTGTAAAAATTTCAGGTTTAGAGTTAAGAAATTGCTAGTTTAGATATCATTTGGGGATTTTTCAGCATGACAGACACTATGTAAATGTAAGATACTATCATTTCAATGCATATGTGAACAGTTTCAGGCTTTTGTAAGTGTTGTGACTTAGCTAGTCATTACATTTAATTGGAAAATGGAGACAATAACTGACTACCCACACAGAGATTCACCCTTACTAAATCTATTACAATTGAAATCCTAATTTATTCTTTTCTAGCACAAATCCTCTGTGCAAGTAAGAATGCATGTGACGCCAAGTAAGCCTTTTAACATTTAATTGTAAGAAGTAAGGATTAGTATTTGCATTTTTTTGCAATTCATTTGCATTTTATCTCTAATTTTTCATTTTAAATTCTGTTTCTTACAGACACAGTTGTCTCAGGCTTTAAATGGTGTTTCAGATAAAGCAAAGGAAGCTAAAGAATTTTTGGTTCAGCTGAAAAATATATTGCAGCAGATACAGGTAATTGTATACTACTTGTTGTTTTGATAATACAATAATCATTAGAGCTGAGTGCATAATTTATTTGATGACTTTAGTTTCTTGCTGTTCACAGATTGCCTGGAATAACATACTCTTTTCTTTAATGTATTTGTTAGGCAAAATTATTTATCAGCTAATGTCTACAAATATTTGTTGGCCTGTAGATTATATGCCATTTGTTGCAAGAATTGGAAATTTGAACTGTGTTGTTTAGTTTCTGATTAGACTCATTGGTTGTATGGTGTGCTTCTGTTCACATACTGGATGAGTGTAATTCTTAGAGTCAGGTTTTTGGTAAAAATACTAATTTTTACAAATTCCAAACTTACTACCTGTGAATAGTCTAACATTTGCTTAAATTATGCTGTTTCTGAGAATATTCTTCTATTTTAATTGTTAGGATATTTGTGGAAAGTCAAAATACAAAAAGTGCACAAGAACTGCCAAATGAATGTGGGGAGGGAGGGGGTTTGAGTGGAAATTATTGTTGTGTATGTTTCTGTTCAGCTCTGATCATTGGATTTCGACTCATTACATTGAGCAAAAGACTAATTTAAAACACACATTTATATTTGCACTAAAAGAGCACAAAACCAGTGTGAAACTCAATTGTTTTTTTCAAGTGAATATAGGCTCATGAAAGTTGCTGGATATTGGGAATTTTCACCTCTCTGTCTACCCATAGAACAGGTCTGGGACATGCAGCAGCAGTGCCTGCTTCCCTATACTGACTCACCAGGGCACTAGGGGAGGATTATTATTGTTCTAACTAGTGATTTTTTCTAGCATGGCTTCTATGATCTACCCACTGTGTGCTGTCTGCTTTACTTCTGGCCCTTTGGTCATCAGTGAGCAATCCCCAGTTCCTGCTTTGCGCAGAAAGGGAAGGCAGGAGTTTGAGAAATAAATATTTGATCTAAAATTAAATTATTTTAAAAACCCAGATTGAGTTTATACCACAAATGCTGCCAACATATGCAAAGTGCCACAGAATGCTGTATCCCCCACCATTTGCATTCCTCTGTTGCTCTGCTAGAAGTGCCAATAAGGGAGATTAACTTATTTTTTTAAAGTGATATGGATAACTGACTGATAGGAACTGGCCTAAATCACCAATTCATGTCTCTTAGGCCACCAAACAGCTGTCAGATGGTAATGAACTTCAGCCACTCACTATACACATTGAACAGCTTTGAAGCAGTGAGCTGCAGGTGAAGGACTCCATAGTCCATTGCTGATCCACTGGGTCACCTAGCTCTCCTCAGTAGCTACTTTTACCCTTTTGAAACCTAAAGATGAACATTTACAAATATTTAAAACTGTGCTGTAAAATCCTTTAATGCATATGAACAGAAACCCTGGCAAATTGTTATGCATAATGGTACTGTTGTAATTAGAGTCGAATGACCAGGAATTGTCTGTTCTGGTATTCGTGACTATGAGCCCCTGAATCTCCACCCCATGTTACTAAAATCCTAGAGATGAACCCAAAGTAGAAACCTGCAGCTAATCCCCACCCTCTGAGTTTTGAGGAAATTTGAATCTGGAGTTGGACTGAACTCCACATCATGGGCCCATCTCTATAATGGGTCTAAACCGGAACACAAAATCTGAACAAATCAGAACACTGGGAATGTTTGGATTCAGATCCATGGCCTGAGCTGAGAAGCATGATTCTGGTTGTCTCCAATAAATACCTCAGTACTGGCAGCCTCCCACTTTCACCCCTCAGCAGAACTGTCTTACATGCAAACATTTGCTCAATGGAGTTAAAAGATATGTAGTTTTTATCATTGTATTTAAACACCATACAAGCCAGACAGCAAGTCAAACCCTTTACTCCCTTGCTTAGCAAGAGAGAGCTGTGCTCTTACTCTTGGGTTCACGGACTCCTTTTTTTTTCTCTGCTCTTATTTTTTTCCCTGACTGTGGATTTCTGCTTTTCTTCTCTCCTTTTTGTCTTCTTAGGTTACTTTCAAGTCCCTTACACTGTTTTTCTTGCACTCTTCAAAACCTGCCTGATTGCCCTCACTACCTCTTTCCTGACTCTCTAAGGGGCCTTGTTGCTGTCACTATACAATTCTCACTCTTCTCCCATCTGCTGCAAGAAGTACTGGGGGGCGGGGGGTTGTAGTCCCCATGACAGGAGCACCCACAAGAGCACTCATTCTGACTCAGATTCTGTGCAGAAACCAACGTTTCCCTATCATCTTGTGAAAGACAAAGTGAAGGCACGGGGGGTGTAACCCAAGTAGAGGAGGGACAGATACAAGCAGAAAGGGGCTGGAGCTAATCCGTGGTCTAGTTGTAGCTCATCTAAGTTCAGCCCAAGCTTGGTCCCTTGCTTCCCACTGCTAGCAGAGAACCATGGGTGATTCTCACAGGACTAGTCTGCACTGAAGCATACACCACTGCAGCTTCACTGTTCTGGGACATAGCTCTCTTGGGTATGTCAGCTCAAGCTACACTGAGCCTGCAGTATAGACCTAGCCAAAGAGGCAGTGCATTCAGCTCCCAGGGAAAGAATGTTCTTTCTCTCCTTAATCAGAGAGGGGGCTGCATGAATCATGGCTTAGGGCAGGGGCGGACAAACTTTTTTGCCTGAGGGCCGCATCGGGTTTTGGAAATTGTATGGAGGGCCAGTTAGGGGAGGGGGTTGTGGCCCACCCCCTCCCATCCACCTCCCCAGGACTCCTGCCCCATCCAACCCCCCCATTCCCTGATGGCCCCCCGGGACCCCTGCCCCATCCACCCCCCTCCGCTCCCTGTCCCCTGACCACCCCTGGGACCCCTGCTCCTGACTGCCCCCCACTGCCCCATCCAACCCCTCCTCTCATTCCTGACGGACCCCCCCCCCGGGACCTCTGCCCCATCCAACCACCCCTTCTCTCTGACCCCTGACTGCCCCGGGAACCCCTGCCCGACTGCCCCCCACCGGCCCATCCAGCCCCTCCTCTCATTCTTGACTGCCCCCCCCGGGACCCCTACCCCATCCAACCATCCCTTCTCCCTGTCCCCTGACTGCCTCCGGAACCCTTGCCCCTGACTGCCCCCCGCCACCCTATCCAACCCCTCCTCTCATTCCTGACTACCCCCCCGGGACCCCTGCCCCCATTCAACCCCCTTGTTCCCCGCCATCTGACCGCCCCGACCCCTATCCCCGCCCACCCTCCCAAACTCCCCTGCCCTCTATCCAACTCCCTGCTCCCTTCCCCCTTACCGCGCTGCCTGGAGCACTTGTGGCTGGCAGCGCTACAGCCGCACTGTCCGGCTGGAGCCAGTCATGCCATTGCCACCGCGTAGCACAGCACTGGATCAGGCCGGGCTCTGCAGCTGCACTGCCCCAGAAGCTCGCTGCCCCACCACCTAGAGCATTGCGCCAGCGGCGGAGCAAGCTGAGGCTGCGGCGGAGGGGGAACAGCAGGGGAGGGGCCGGGGGCTAGTCTACCAGGCCAGGAGCTCAGGGGCCGGATGTGGCCGGCGGGCTGTAGTTTGCCCACCTCTTGCTTAGGGTGTGAGGATGAGGGTAATAAAATTTAATCTAAAAACAGAAGTAGATTGAAATAAATAGAGGGGAAGAGAAAAGCCAAAACAAAGGGAAAAAGATGGGCATAAGTAACGTGTGCATGTGTAAGGGATAGCTATGCAGAGCCTGATTCTCCTCTCACTTACACTATTTTTACTGTAAGGTAACTCCAATAACTTCAGTAGAGATATTCCTGATTTGCAGCAGTGTAAATGAGAGCAGAGGCTTGATGCTGCTCTAACATTGGTGTAAATCAGGAGAAACTGTCAAAGTCAATGGATTTACACTGGTGCAAAAGGGGTATAAGAAAGAAGACAATTGGACTCACTGACTATAGAGCTAAATTTCATTTTCCTTTCCTATCTAGATGTCCCTTCTGTCACTTGAATAAGGTCAACAGGGAAGATCGAGAATAGAGGGATTTGGCACCAATGCTTATTGCTATCCCAAAGTAGGGATACTTTGTAGAAGAGATGGCACTTGCATCTTAAGACAAGATGCCTATTTAAACCTAATTTAGCTTGGCAATGGCTCCAGAATAATGAACTAAAATTGGCAAACCATCTTTTTCTAAAACTGATTTTTTTCCAGAGATAAAGAGACATACATGTAGTCCCTAACATAAACAAAGCAGTGTGTATAACCCATACATACTGGGGCAGCAAATTGTGCACATTCATAGATTTATATTTAAAGCCTAAAATCATTCAGGAATTCATTCCTGGAAAAGTAACACTTGTGGTTTTAATAACTGATTTCAAAGAGAACCTTGTCAGAGAAATGGATAGGTTAACGGTCTAAAAATACTGTAAATCCTTTGGTAACTTTATCTCTCTATCATCACTGGGCCTAATTTTCCACTGCTTTTCACTTTGGAGTCATTTACTCTAATGCAAAGTGCATGTAAAACTCTCCCCATCAGACTGGTAGTATTTCACACCCACTTTGCACAGGTGTAAATGCCCACATGAGGTGAACCAGCGTTTATATCTGTTGACAGATGAGTTCTTCCCTGAGACTCTCTATTGATTCAGTGGGATTTAAGCTTAAAGTTAAGCACATGCTTAAGTGCTTTGCTGAATTGGGGTTCTAAGCAGAATACAATGGAGAACTTTGCCAGTTATACTTGTCCTGGGAAAACTGACTACCACAGTAGCCTGTTAGACGTGGATATCAGTGACTATATCAAATGTAGAGAATTGTCCTCCAACCTTTAGGAAGGCAATAGGACAAATCTAATTTTGGCCAAGTGGACAAATCAGATTAGTAAAATATAATCCAAGGGGGAAACAGAGAGAGACATTGATTTAAATGGGATTTAAGCACATGCTTAAAGTTAAGCACACTAAAGCTTAAGTGCTGAACTGGGATTTGGGGAGAAGCTGGTTAGGCAGCCCAATGTCTCCTGGAAACAGGAGCATGAAGGCTTCCTTCCCCTCCTCAAGAGCAGCTGCTTAGCTTGTATGATGACTTCCATTTAAACCAGTCTTATGTTGTGAATTCCATGGGAGTGAAATTCACCTGTGTGCAGAGGACCAGCCCAAAGCCTAGTGCTATTTAAATCCCACTTAAGCTCTGACTAAAGTGCTGCATAGGCCTTCTGCTGGTCCTCTGTACAGAAGTGAATTCTACTGCTATGTGACTAAAAACTACAGTGTATTATTTTTAAAAGGCTAACCAAATTCATGTTTCCAGGGAAGATGTAAGCATGTGCTAACTACAAGAAGCTCAAAAAAAAGTGCTCAGGTTAAAATTGTTCCTTTCATTGTGCATATTGCCCTCCGCCTTCATCTTGAGGCAATATACCACAGTCTCAAGAATTATATTTATTCTTGGTTTATTCCCCTTGGGATCAGTCTGTGGACTCCATTCTGCTCAAGTTACTATGGTGCAACCCCCCTGATTTCAGATGAGTTTCAGTGAAGTAACTGAGAGCAGAATTTGGAACAATATTTTAAGACTACATAGAGACTCTCACGCATTCATTTGTCTGGAAAATGCTAGTATATTAAGGGGTTACAATAAATCAATTTTGTAGCATGATCATCTTGACAGTGTCCCTTAAGGCATTTTATAGCCAGCAGTTGTTAACAGTGCAATATGTAATGGAATCACAAAGGAAACATGAAATGCCAAACTCTTGAAAGGAAACATTTTCTAAATGTAAAACGTGTATATTGGTTTGGGTAAATAACAGCTTTTACTGTAAAAAATTCATTTTCATAAATGCATATGATTGTCACCTTCTTCTAGGAGAATGGGTTGGATTATGAAGCTTGTCTGGTTGCTCAGTGTGATGCCCTGGTTGATGCATTAACTCGTCAAAAGGCAAAACTGCTCACAAAAGTTACCAAAGAGCGTGAGCACAAATTAAAGGTGAGCACAACTATTCTGAGTTGCAAGCATTCCAGAGAGTGTGGCTACAAATATTTCTATTGAAGTGTTTCTTTAGCCTAGAGTTAATGCACATTAGGCTAAGTCCTGAAGCCCTTATTCAGTTAAAATTCCCATTGACCAGATCTTGAAGTCCTTATTCAGGCCCCAGTTTAACAAGATACATAAGCATGACTTCAATGGAATTATTCATGTGTTTAAAGTTAGGCATGTGCTTAAGTAACTTGCTGAATTGGTGCTTCAAACTTTAGGCAATACTCTTATTGAAGTTTATGGGTCAAATCCTGACAGGTGCTAAGTAATCGCAACTGATCCCACTGAAATCAACGGGCAGTTCAAGCACTCATTACCTCTCTGGTTTTGACCAAGTGGAAGCAATCTTGTTCGGGAAAGGACTGAATAAAAATTTCAACATTTAGTCCATTTTTTTAAACCTTCAGAATCTCAAGTATCTGTGAGAGACATCCTGAGATCCTCTTTCACTCTCTTCTCAAGAGAAATAAGAGAAAAGGGAAGGAAAGAGAAAATGTAATTGGCTGATTGGAGTGGTGGTTAGTAGGGTTCTTTGTGGTGAAATTTCATGCAGCTCATAGCTCTGTATTTGAAGATATTACAAGTTCTGGGTGCATTACAAATATTTTAGATTTTTTTCTATTGTCTGATTAACACAATGTAGAGGGAATGGACAGACTGCTTCAGCTCGGTGTTCTGGGAACCCCACTCTCACAACTTCCTAAATTTATGGTGTCCCACTAAAAGGCCTGATTCTCCTCTCACTTACACCATTTTTACCTTGAATAACTCCATAGACTGCAGTGGACTTACTCCTGATGAGAGCAGAAACAAGTCCAAAATTGCGGAAAAATGAGAGATGTGCCTTTCTTATTCTTTTCCTCTGGATGAACAAGGGTCTACTGTAAATTGTGAAGGGAATGATAGAATATAGATGGACTAGTAGTCCTCATAGTTATCCTGTTTAATATATTGGGTTTAAATTATTTTGTTATTAAAAGCTCAAATTTTAATGGAAGTGTGATTGCATGTGCAGTGAACAAATTCTACACCCATTTGATCCTAACTCCTTCAGCCATGAGCAGACCTGGGTATTCAACACTTAATCTGCTCTGATAATTGAGATTGCCTGTACATGACATTTTGCCAAACTAATTATCAGTATTTACAATACAGAGCAAAGAAGTGTAGCTGACGCAGATGGGGTAATACCCATATGACAGCTAAAACAAACATAGCTTTAACACTCTCTTCCATTCACTGCTGCTGCTGCTTCTGAAATAATTTACTTGATTCAGTGAAGGCTGAGACGATTATCATAAATGTACTGAGGTTTTCATTTGCAGGTTGTTTGGGACCAAATAAATCACTGTACTCTGAAGCTACGTCAGTCAACAGGGCTTATGGAATACTGTCTGGAAGTAATCAAAGAAAATGATCCCTCTGGTTTTTTACAGGTATTTTCTTTTTTACTCTTGTGAAGAAACAAAAAGATTATACTGGAATGTAAAACTTGCTATGGTGGAGTGTTTAGCTTAATGGCTTGGAAATGGGCTCTGGAGTCTGTCAGCTGCAGGTTCACATTCTGTCCTTGTCAATATAATACCTAGAAATTATTACAATTTGGTGGCTAATATGAAATGATTTTGGTGGCATCTATGTATTTCCCAATAGACAAGGGTCTGCATGACCCAAAAAAACTCCAACATAATTGGTACTCTTGTTGGTAGTTTAAGCAGAGGCCAAGATTTGAATGGACATGGAAGATCAATTTTCCCCTTTGCCCAGCCCGCTCTCTTTGCAGTGGAATGGGGTAGGGGACCACCAGGGAACTGGTTATGGCTTCCTGATTTTTGCACCAACCCAGTCCTAGTGTCAGTTAGTTAGAGCAGCCCAGAGACCTTACACCATTGATACTACCAAGCCTCCAGCTTGCTCCTGATATGTCCCCTTCCTGGCACCATACCTCTCAACTGTCAAACCTGCCAAGTGTGTGAGTGCAAAATGAGTGCCAATTTTGATGCAGCTATGAAACACCTATCTTGTTGCATGTCAAACCTAATTTACAGATGATGATGTTTTCTAGATTATGAGACTTCATTTAAAGCAGCATTTCTCAAACTGGGGTCTGCGAAGGTACTCCAGGGGGTCCACCAGCCCCGCTGTTCAACTCCTCCCCCTCCCTCCCAGTGCCTCCTGTACGCAGGGGAACAGCTGTTCAGCGGCATGCAGGAGGTGCTGGGAGGGAGGGGGAAGAGCGGGGACGGGGCATGCTCGAGGGAGGGGGCGGAAAGAAGTGGAGAAGAGGAGGGGCAGGGGTGAAGTGGGGCTGGGAAGAGGGTGGGTCCTTGGGGGAAGGGGTGGAGTAGGAGCGGGGCCGCCTGGGGTTGAGCAGGGGATTCGGGGGGGAGGGGTCTGTGAAAACTTTTAAATCAAAATGGGGGTCCTCGGGTTGCTAAAGTTTAAGAACAGCTGGTTTAAAGGATTATTTTCTCACTATGTGAATTAATTAAACCACTTTTAAAAATGAAAACTGGGAAATCAAATTCTTGTCACATGCAGCCATAAAGTCCCCTAATCTGAGGCATCATCAGGATAGAACCCTGGAGTTCTAGATCCTGGGCACAGACCTTTACCACTTCAACTAAAGATGTAATTACTGTTCTCTCTGTGGACCAGCCTCTAAAGGTGGCCTTGACAGTGGATTACACAACTCTTCACTAGATAGCAGTTAATATTGGAGATGAGGATGGTTGGTTCTATCCCTGACTCTGGGAAAGAAACATGATGTAATGTTTGGAGACAGGAAAACCAAAGCACATATTTGGTGCATTCTGCTTGAAAGGTAATATGATTGAGTGGCTAGTATTTTTATCTCCGATATCAGAAACCTCAGTTTTATTCTTTCTTCTGCTCCCAGATAACCCATGTAGGGGTATAAAGGATGGGGGTTACAGGTACCCCTACATGGGCAATTAATCCATAGCACAGTCTGACCTCAAATTAACACATGGAAAAGTCTAAATAGTTTCTTTGATCCAAACTACAATTTACCATGGTATTTTAATAGCGCTAAATCTGAAATCCTTACTCAGTCTTCACTGAAGCTATGTGCCAAACTCTGAGAGGTTCTGAACATCTGCAGTTTCCTTGTCTCAGGATTTGGCCTATTGGAGTTTTGCCTCCGCAAGAACTAAATAATAGCTGAATAAGGATTTTGGGGATGATCCTGAGTCAATTACAAAAGAAAACATGGTGACCAGCAGGTGTCTTCTTCCTCCCTTTGCCAAGTGTAAAGAGTTACTATCTGATCATTTAGGCTCAGCTATTATAATGAAATCCCCATACTGACATGCTTTCTTCTGACTTTCTCTAGTTTGCCATTCAATATGGATTTATTAAGCTGTTTCTGAAAATTATAAGATCTTTTCATGGTTACCATTACAAACCCAACAGAAGGGGGTCAATACTTATCTTGGCAGTATTCATCAAGGCCTAATAGCTTGTGGTTGAACTAGAGCAGAGCTTTAAGAGTGGCATCCAATCTTAATTTAATGGAGAATCAACCTCATCCTTTGGAGAGCTGTTCCAATGTTTAATTCCCCTCACTGTTAAAAATGGGCACCTTATTTCCAGTTTGAATTGAAACTAGCTTCAATTTCTGTCTGCTAGACTTTGCTAAATTAAAAAGCTTTCTAGTGTCAGAAATCTTCTCCCTTCAATTCACGGAGATTAAACAAGACATCAAGACAGCTGCTGTGTAGATCAGAGAGGAAACACCACTTTCTGTATGGCTCTCAAGCAGTTAAGATACATCCCCAGCCCTGTTCCACAAAGCTTCTTTTCAAAGAAAACTAACTTTTTCAACTCTCACAGGGGATTTGCTTTGAAAAGACAACACGGGAAGATGCAACACACATGGAACTCACATCAAAATTACCATGAGCCCTGCTTCAATTAGGCCATGAGGCTCACAGTCACCTTGTATGATATAGCATAGTCATTCAGGTCTGTCACTTCTAACTTATTCTGGTCTATTTTTGCATTTGCAGTTTCACTAAAAGCCTAATGTTCTTTTTAAGATTTCAGATGCTTTAATCAAACGTGTTCAGGTGTCTCAGGAACAGTGGGTCAAAGGAGCCTTGGAACCAAAAGTATCAGCTGAATTTGACCTGACTCTGGATAGTGAACCTTTACTACAGTCAATTCACCAGCTGGATTTTATTCAGATGAAATGTAGGGGTGAGCTTTTGTGATTTGATTTTTATTTTATTTTTCATGTCTGCTTTGAAACAGTGCTGTAGAGGGGGAGGTGAAGGAAGGTGGGGAGAAAGAGAAACTAGTCGCAATGTATGGATAGTTATTTTTGTCTTCTCTTAATCAAACATGAATTTACCAAGGAGTGCTTTCACCTCACCTCAAGTGACCCAGACAAGCTCAGACAGTGAAATTAGGTGAAGTTAAAGATTTGAAAAGATAAAAGTTTCAGACAAAGACCATCTGTCTGTTTTGAAGGTGGTGAAGACATTGGTGTCAATATGAACTTGAAAACAACTTAGCTCCTTTGTGTAGCATTAACAAGTTTAATACAGTTAATTAAAAATGAGTTGCCGATAGGGCTGGGTGGAAAACCACAATTGCCTTTTATGGACAATGTTGAGGTTTCAAAATTTTATTGTGAAAACATGGGCAAGAAGCCAGCCCTGAAGAGCCAATAGGCTGGGATGTGGGAGACTCAGGTTCAAGTCCCTGCTCTGTCTGAGTCACAACTGGGTCAGTGCTCTACCCACTGGGCTATATAGTCAGTATCACTCTGGAGCAATTGATATTGAATGATTTATACAAGGTGGAACAGTTTCAACAGGAGAGAAAGCACAAGACTGACTATATAGCCCAATGATTAGGACATTGACTTGAACCCCAGTCTTCCATATCCTAGATGAGTGCCCTAACCACCACGCTATTGGCTACTCTGAGTGAACTTGCTCGTGCTCTCTCTCTTTCTCCCACCCTCAAACTTTTGTCAAAACTGATCCATTTCCACAAAATGTTTTAGGTTTTGACAAAACAGCTTTTTTTTTTTTTTTTGGACAGAAAACAGTTTCATTGAAAAATTTTCAACCAACTCTAATTACCAACGTGTCAGCAAGAGTATCATCAGTGGCAAATGAGTCACTTCTTACTCTCAGGGCTTGTCTACACTACCGCTTAAGTCGATGTAAGGTACGTTGCTCAAGGGTGTGAAAAAAACACTACCCTGAGTAATGTAACTTAACTCAACTTACAGCGGTGTCATAGCTTCTGCCTCTTGTTGAGGTGGCGTAATTAGGTGGTGTCAATGAGAGAGTGCTCTCCCATCGGCATAATGTGTCTTCATCAGACGTGCTACCAGCGCCGATTTAGTGTACTAATGAAGACAAGCCCTCAGTAAGGCAGAACCACCATGATAGTTATACTCAGTGGGGATACTGCAGTTGCCAGAGCCCAAGATAAAGCTTTTGGAGGTATGGGCAAGAAATTACCATGGAAGGTCATTGGCTATGGAATTCCTTAACACCAAAGATCAGGATAAGCCAAAGCCTGACTGTCTATAGGACAAATTGCAAAACCCATCATTTGTACAAGGCCTCCCTCAATAACAATGACAGAAGAGCAGCCTGGTGATGTTTCCTGTGGGCAGGGAAGGGAGAACAAAAGGAAGGGTGGGGGGGAAAGTTAAGCTAAAAATGGCTGAAAGTAGGAGCTGGTAGGGAATAGGTGCCATTTGCAAAAAACAGTGTAATGCAATTTTAAATGTTGTGCTTGGAGCTTAGATACCAGGGAGACAGGCACATCCAAGCTGGATGTATATGGACAGATAGACATTCTGTAGGGGCCTGATCTAAAGCCCATCGAGATCAATGGGAGTGTTTCCATTGACTTCAATAGGCTTTGAATCCAGACCTAAGGATACATGTGGAAGACATGGAAGAGTCTAGCAGAAAGTATTGGATGGGTTGAAAATAATTTTGTTTTTCTCTGATTCCACAAGAGCAGTCCATACACATGAGGATTCATGTTCATCTAGTAATTTATCTGTTCTCTGTAGGCTTAGTTCTGAACTGAAACATGCGCAAGCTAATGTGAACAGAGTGGCTAATTTGACAGATAAATCCTTGGAGAAACAATGGAAATTGTTGAATTCAGATAAATAGTTAAAGGCCAAAATAAGCTCTTTGAGAGGGGATTGCATCTCAGCATAAATGGGTTATATTAATGAAGCCACTCTAAAAACATCAGTAAATTGACCCTTTTAAAGTTTAACAGCAAGAAAAATAGAAGCGAGAGCACAAGGCATGAGATTTAAAATGTAAGTGAGAAAGCCTCTCTGAGTGTCATCTGCAGAGGTGTCAGTTGTCAACTTAGACTGGTGTTTTAATCAATTTAAATTTAATAGTGGTTTATAGTCCCCCCTGAACAACTAATAATGAATTTAACTAAGCCACTCATGCATTCCAAATAGCTAAGCAACCCAGAGAGTACCTGAGATGGGAACACCTTAGATTTTTGGCTTCCAGACATTCATCATTTTTTTAATTTACAACCTGCAGAAAATCACTCTCTCTCCCCTCCCGCCCTAGGCCATGTCACCTCCACTCGCTTGTGCATTTGGAGGGTAGAACCAAGGCTGTGCCCATTCTCTGCCCACCTGCATTGGTGGGGAATAGTGGGCATGTAGCACCTGCTTTCTCCTTGGGACCTTTACCCAAGGACCAGCTAGCCCTTTCAGGGGCATAGGGAAGGCTCTTACTTCCCCTTATGCTGTGTGATCAAGTAGTACAAGCCATATTCTAGTTCTAAATAAATGTACAATCACAGGAAGATAGGAATTGTTTGACATATAGAGAGACATATATAAATAAATACAATTTTTGGCTGTGTGCCTATTTCTATTTAACCTTATAGGGTATGTTTATACTGCAATCACGGGGTGTGACTCAGCTCAAGTAGACATACCCAAGCTAGCTATAATCTAGCTCCCTCGGGTTCTGAGCAGTGAATCTGTGCAGCGTGCACCTCAACATGGGCTGAACAAGCCCACGCTGCACCCTGGATAAGTACTCACCGTGGCAGCCAGCACTGAAATGCCCCTGGCCGCAGGCTCTCCAGGGCCCAAGCTAGCTAGATTAAAGCTAGTTCAAGTATGTGCACTTGAGCTGCAGCCACACCCTGTGATGGACTTATAGACATGTTGGTATTTACTGGGCTTTATTTTTGTGATCTCAACCCTTTTCTCCCCCAGTTCATTTCCATTCCATACCCGATGGAAAGGTACCTTTGTATTCTGATATCCGTCCGTGTCCAGCCTGCCCCAGTATGTGTTGGCTTGCCCCCAAAAACTTTTCTGTGTCAGCAAGCTGGTGCTAACGTGGACGCTCATTCCTTCTGTAAAGTCTCTCCCTTCCCCACTGATTCCTTAGTGCCTAAAAAATTTAAAACCAACTTTACACTATCATCTCATTCACATATTGAGAATCTGAAGAGCCCCCTATCCAGATGGCCCTGCATGTAGAAATGGAAGGGATTATTTCAAAATAAGTGGCCATGTTTCACTAGCCAAAAACCAGAGTGGTAAGAAACAGAGCTTTATAAATAACTGGGAAGCCAGCATAACATGTTGAGGCTTTGCTATTTATCCATAAGCTAAATACAGAGCAACCCCTAGGCTTGCATTCCTGAACCAGTAGTCTCACAAAAATATATGCCCCTCCTGAAACCAGCTCCTCTTTTTCCAGTCCCATTCACCACATTGCCTCAGAGAGCAATCAATCTTTGCCAACTGTTTTGGTGTCATATGGAAATTCTACCAACTCTCTATGTTGTTTGGTCTGGCAACAGCAGATTCAGAATGCGCTTTAATGACTTTCAGAGCTAAACCACAATGGGAGATCGGGTACAGTCCCAAGGGAAAAAGTTCCAGACTGACCCTTTTAACTGCAAGTTGTTTTTTCCTATAAGTTTATTTTCACCCTGGTGTCTGAAGATTGGAAACTGGAGGAAGTTGTCCATGTTTAAATAAGGAAGCTGAGAGGTGGGACGGGAGGAAGGGGAGAACTGCGAGGGGTAACTTCACCCGAGAGGAATGGAATATTGTCATCAGCACTTGTTGATGCCTGAATTTCTGAAATCTTTTTTCAAACCTCTGGCCTCACCTCATTCAACATCACTGAGCTTGCACAGGTCAGTGGGAGGTGAATGCCTGCTCATAAACAAACACTGATTCACTGCATTAGACAAAGCATAATGAAAATAAAATCAGATTGTATTAAATTAGCCCTGGTGGTGACTTGTGCATATACCTTACTGGTGGTCTAAGGATAAGCCTCAGATCCGAAACTAATCTCGGTAAATAATGATCAGGCAGAGTTTCTTTAACATTGAGAAATGTAATCAGTTGCAGATTTACTGCACAGAAAGCACAAGTGTGGTACTGTAACGATGAGTGACAGGAGTGTCTCTTTGCTAGCCTGTTAGCAATACCACAACACTCCAGGAGATATGTTGATCCACTGAAAGACATGCACAGTTTCTAATATTTGGTGGCATTTTGATTTAGCCCACATTTCTTTCCTTCACCTCCGTCCTTTTCCCTCCATTATATTTTCTGATTGCCATGGACTGAAATCCCTACCCTTCTCCATGACTAGCTGTGTCTGTACATCACATCCTCTCTGTTTTCACTAAAGACATGGACAGAGATCTAATCCAGGTTTGATTTGTTCTTGAATGCTGGAATAGTGATGGGATTAGTGTTTGTTTGTTTGTTGCAAAAGGAAGAATGGATACAAATGCTTAAAATCACTTTTGGCATAGAATCATAGAATCATAGAATATCGGGGTTGGAAGGGACTCAGGAGGTCATCTAGTCCAACCCCCTGCTCAAAGCAGGACCAATTCCCAACTAAATCATCCCAGCCAGGGCTTTGTCAATCCGGGCCTTAAAAACCTCTAAGGAAGGAGATTCCACCACCTCCCTAGGTAACGCATTCCAGTGCTTCACCACCCTCCTAGTGAAATAGTGTTTCCTAATATCCAACCTAGACCTCCCCCACTGCAACTTGAGACCATTGCTCCTTGTTCTGTCATCTGCCACCACTGAGAACAGCCGAGCTCCATCCTCTTTGGAACCCCCCCTCAGGTAGTTGAAAGCAGCTATCAAATCCCCCCTCATTCTTCTCTTCTGGAGACTAAACAATCCCAGTTCCCTCAGCCTCTCCTCATAAGTCATGTGCTCCAGCCCCCTAATCATTTTTGTTGCCCTCCGCTGGACTCTTTCCAATTTTTCCACATCCTTCTTGTAGTGTGGGGCCCAAAACTGGACACAGTACTCCAGATGAGGCCTCACCAATGTCGAATAAAGGGGAACGATCACATCCCTCGATCTGTTGGCAATGCCCCTACTTATACAGCCCAAAATGCCGTTAGCCTTCTTGGCAACAAGAGCACACTGTTGACTCATATCCAGCTTCTCGTCCACTGTGACCCCTAGGTCCTTTTCTGCAGAACTGCTACCTAGCCATTTGGTCCCTAGTCTGTAGCTGTGCATGGGATTCTTCCGTCCTAAGTGCAGGACTCTGCACTTGTCCTTGTTGAACCTCATCAGGTTTTTTTTGGCCCAATCCTCTAATTTGTCTAGGTCCCTCTGTATCCGATCCCTACCCTCTAGTGTATCTACCACGCCTCCCAGTTTAGTGTCCTCTGCAAACTTGCTGAGAGTGCAGTCCACACCATCCTCCAGATCATTAATAAAGACATTAAACAAAACCGGCCCCAGGACCGACCCCTGGGGCACTCCGCTCGAAACCGGCTGCCAACTAGACATGGAGCCATTGATCACTACCCGCATTTGGCGGCCCATCTTTTCCCCATTCCCTTTCACCCACTCCACCCGCTTCTTGCCAGGTGGCGTGCTCCAGAGATAACCCTCATACTCACACTGCCTCTGCTGTAGCTCCTGTCCAATATCCAACCCTGCTTTAGAAAGACTCACACCCACTGCGGTCTTCTCTGCCAGCCTGACACAGCTTTAAAAACCAACCACCTCTTTCCACCCTGATGGCTCCAAATATCAACCTGTCTGGTTCTCCTCCCCCAGGAGTATACCTCCCTCCTGTCATCCCTACCCGGCCCTCATGATCATCCCACTCACATCTTCCTATGAGGACTCCCTCCTTTCCCCCCACCCCCCAACTTGACAAGTCTCTCACAACTTAGACTCATCACAAAGAAATAATTTGGTATTTGGAAAATCCAAAGGAGTGGCTTCATCCCTAGTTTTATCTCTGTTTATTTAATTTAGGGGGACCTAAAGTTTACAGAATCTCTCATTGGACTGTTGTCTTGCTGAATATAATCCCTCTACTGACTAGCCTAGGGGAAAAGTCATTGTACAGCTCGCTGATCAGGTTGACAAACAGCAGAATAGAACCTTTGAACATCCAGCTCTGTCCCTACAGAGGGAGGGGCTATGGGATGAGTTGACTTGTGTGTGCTAAGCTTCTAACTTGCCATGAGACATCAGTGACACAGTGTTGATCTAGTACCCAAAGGATGTCCTGCCTGCATCATTTATAGAAGCTCAGCATTTAGAGATGGAAAAAACGTGTTTGGTTATCTGCTCCATCTCCTTGCCAAGGCAGCATTTTTTTTAGTGCTTTCTACAGTATAGTTTTAAATGGCACAAGCAATGGGACAGTTCTGTAATTTAACAGCTAAGTGTTCTCTCCCCCTCCCCCCCATACTTAGCCTGCATTTACCTTTTTTAAAGTGTGTGTTATTGCTCTTAGGTACAGCCCAATGTACTGCCCTAAATAATTCGCCTCCCTTTCATGTATTTGTAGACAGAGAGGCACAATTCCTTCCCCTTCCCCTTCCCCCTTTGCTCCTGGAGACTGGCAATCTGCTACTGGCTCTTATCTGTAGGACATTGCCCCCTCCACCCAGGCCAGCTAGGGTTGGGAGTGGAGCCAAAGCTCTGCCCATTCCTACTTACTACTCACCTACCTACATGGGGTGGGAGGAGGAGATTAGCAGCAGGCATGCAGCTTACTCCTATATGCTTGGACCCAAAATCCAGGGAGACCGTGCAGGGGCCTAGTTAGGGGTAGAGAGGTAGGTTGTGGGTCTTACTCCCCCTTGCTCCACTGTGTGGCCATGCAGTCCTCCAGAATAGTATGGCCCTAAGTTTCACAACGTCCATGTGTGGTAGGTTGGAGGTGCACAAGGATCACTTCACAAATTCTGAAGTGCATCCACTTCTGGGATATAACACAGCAGATCCCCAAGTCTTTGCCTCAAAAGATATGAGTTATATACATTGAAGTCTAGGTGTCCTGGGCCAGAAGGGTCGGGGGGAGGGAGGAATGAGAATTGTGTCTCACCTATTTAATAGTACATAACAAAACTAGATGGCATTACTACTTCTTTAAGGCTTAAAGGTGATCTTCAAAGGATTTTTTTTTTTAATTGGGCTTGTGGCTTTTTTCACTTCTTTATGGTGGATAAAATTTGAAAACTTTCTTTTAAAGTTTTGGGATTTTTTTGCTTAGATTTAAACCTTAGAAATGTCAGGAATCTGATCTTCCCCTTGTTTTGTGAAGGGGATCTGGGGGGGCGGGTGTCTCACTGGATGTGTATTGTGAACATCGCATTTTAACTAAAGTGGCAGGAGTGTGACTCTTTAACAAAGACATCTTTTCTCCAACTCGTTCATTAGTCACTGACATTACATCTGTGTTAACAAGAACAAACAAAAAAAACCCTGAAGTTTTAAACAGTCCAACTAAAACTCCCTTCACCTCCTAATTACAAAACATTGAGTTTCTTGACTGTTGTGATATCACAATTTCACTAGTACTCCAGTTACCATATCATCTTCCAGGGAAGACAAGACCCAAGCTCTAATGTAAAAAAAACAAGCAGATTTTTATTTATTATATACTTTCAAGTCTTCTTTAAATATCATAAAGAGGCAAAAAATGTCACAACTTGGGGGAGGGGTCACCTTTAATAGTTTGTTTTAAAAGCTGTCAGCCACACTCAATCATCTGGGCTCTGTAGTACCAGCTCCAGGTCACAAAACCCAGAGTATGGAGCTGGACCCAGACTCACGGGACCGGAGCTGCCACTGTGATATGAGTGAGGGGCAGGCTTGCTCTTCAGCCCCCACACCTCCCTGGGCCTCTCCTCCTCCCCAGGCCAGGATTAGGGTAGCGATGCTAGGGTGGAGAGTGCTACTGCTAGCCGTTACTACCCCCTCAGCAGTTTAGTATAGTGCACCCGGGAGGCTACATCCACCCCTTGCTGAAAGTGCTCAGCATCTTGCAGGAAGCACCCAGCACTTTGCAGAACTGAGCCCTAATAGTAAAATTCAGCCCCATGCAGAAGGCCAGTCCAAGGCCTCCACGCCACTATACCCCAATAAAGCCCTGGGATTTAAGTGGTGCATAAGCCTTGCACTAGTCTTCTGTACAAGGGTGAAATTCACCCTAAATTAGGATTCTTGCTGACTAATTCCAGTGAAAGGAGAACGGAAAGATGCTGTGACACTAGACAAGAGAGGTAAATTGAGTTTAGTGGCATAGACAGATAACATACCTGATCCCTCCTCACGGAAACATGGCTGAATGTTCCACTTTGCTTATTTTTATTTTTGAACTATCAGCCCGGTCAATGGTACAGTAATATTTTCCTGGCCCAGTCAGTACCGACAATACCCTCATCCACAATGTCACCCTCACTTTTATAGTTTCCAAATGGATGAAGCCAACATCAGACTCCTGTAATGTAAAAATCACCTTTTTCTACCTGAACACAGTGATTCAGATAAAAGATTCAAATGAAACAATTTTTCTTTAATAGTATCCCTACGTTTCTCCTGAAACTTTTTTTAAACAAAAAATTGGGTTTTTGACGACACAAAACATTTTGTGAAATTTGCTTTCTGTGAGAAATTTCAATTTTTCATTGAAAAACAAAATAACCCCATACAGAAATATTTCAATTTGGGTAGGCTGCCACAGTGCCTCATGGATGTTGAAGTTGGGTTGTTTCGTATCTCCAGTCTTTTCTATGGACTGAGCTCCCAGGCCACACTACAAGGCCCATGATGCACCATGGCATGAGACACCCTCCCCCTTCACCCCATGCACCACTTCCCCTCTTTAAGAGGGGAGACTGTTGTGCATCATGGGTGATGTATTCTGGCAGGGAGTCTGGCCTATTGAGGAGAATGGATGTCTGTGGTGCCTGAACTACAATTTCCATGAGGCACTGTGGCAGCATTTTCTAAATCAAAATTTTATTTTTTGTCCTAAATATTTTGGTATCGGCTGAATTTTTTTCAGTTTTCAGATACATTTTTTGGTATAGAATTTTTGGTGAAAAATTGAAGTTTTCCATGGGGAAAACACATTTTCTGACCAGCTCTATCCCCAAGTAACTTTGGCTACTTTGCAGAATGGGGGGGATTAAAAGGGAGGTGAGGGAAGTGATGGATCATCATATTGCTGACAACAGAGTCTGATGGGTAAGGACAGAATTACACTAATCTGTACTCAGTTCCCATTACAGTGCCACCAGTCCCGTTACTGCAGCTGGAGAAGTGTTGTACCCGAAACAACAGTGTGACACTGGCCTGGAGGATGCCACCCTTTACCCACAATCCAGTGGAAGGGTATATCTTGGAACTTGATGATGGAGATGGCGGCCAATTCCGAGTGAGGACTTCATTCAGCATTTATTTGGGTTCTCTCTGTGTTATTGTTAAACTTCCATAAGGACATGGATGTAGGAGGGCAGATTCTCTAATTCATTCCTGCTTCTGCAGTGCAATGAGGCCAAAAAGCTGCTGGATCATCCCAGATGAGGATTCCCCTTGCATGGAGGTGTCTCTAACTAGTGTAGTCAGTTTCTGTGCTGCCCTCCTGCGGACGCTGGGACAGAGGGCTTGTGAGGGTGGAAGGTGGGATTTCAGGGCACTACTGCAGTACTCAGCTGGCTGATAGCCTCTTGCAGGATATAGTAAACTGGAGTGGAATAGAGAAGCCCCAAGGTTGCTCTATTGTGCTGGGGTTGAACCCATTGTATAAATGGCCCAGGAATTGGAGAGGTTCCTTTGCAGATTTCGCTGTCCGCTGCACCCAGCAAACAATGACCCAGGTCAAGAAGTGCAATTATGGAACAATTCTGTTATTCACGGTTTTCTGGGTAAATTTGATGCTTTTATCTGAGGTTCTCAAAATCCTTTCTAAGGTCACGGAAGAGGGTGAGTGGCTGAAGCTCAACTCGGACAAGACTGAAGTGGTGATGGTGGGCTGGGAGAAGCAGCAGTAGATGGCAGGGGTTAAATTAAATTAAATTAAATTAATGGAGATATCCTATCTCCTAGAACTGGAAGGGACCTTGAAAGGTCATCGAGTCCAGCCCCCTGCTTTCACTAGCAGGACCAAGTACTGATTTTGCCCCAGATCCCTAAGTGGCCCCCTCAAGGATTGAACTCACAACCCTGGGTTTAGCAGGCCAATGCTCAAACCACTGAGCTATTCCTCCCCCCGGTTATATGAGTCCCTTTGAAAGAGTATGTCTGCCATTAGTTACTAATTTTTGCAATGTAGAGGTGATCTACAACCCCTGCTTCTGCTTGACAGTCCTATTATAGAAGTGACCCAACCAGCTTTTTATCATCTGCATCTGGCTTGGGGGCTGCAGTGTTTCCTCTCAGATGTTGACCTTGCCACCATTATCTAGTCTTTTGTTATCTCAAGATTAGACAATTGCAATGTGCTCTATCTGGGGCTGCACCTTAAAACCATTCAGCGACTTGAAGCTGGTGCAGAACACAGCAAATCGCTTACTGAGCAGGTCATCATGCTGGGAACACATGACACCAGTGCTCTGGGATCTGCACTGACTGGCCATTGGTCTCTGGGTGGAGTTTAGGTGATGGTTCTGACCTGAGACTGGCCTACCTGAGGGATCTTCTCTTTCCCTGTGACATATTGTCACAGTTGTGGTCAGCAAGGGTGCCTGAGTAGAATTCCCCTCATTATAAAATAGAGAGAGTGGCTGGCAGGGTGGTTCTCTGTGTGGGCTACAGGACTCTGGGAACTTGCTCCCCCATCTCCTTGATCTGAAATATCCCAAATCAGGTGGCCTTCTGGGCATGCTGTAAAAGCCATCTGTTTGCTAGGGTTTTGGAGAGGGTTGAGGGAGTGCTTCCCACAACAAAGCAAGGATAGAAGGAAGTTTCTGGAGGTATATGGCTGAGTGCCTGTTGAAATGATTACTTTAAGAACGGCCATACTGGGTCAGACCAAAGGTCCATCTAGCCCAGTAGCCTGTCTTCTGACAGTGGCCAATGCTAGGTGCCCCAGAGGGAATGAGCAGAACAGGTAATCGTCAAGTGATCCATCCCGTCACCCATTCCCAGCTTCTGGCAAACAGAGGCTAGGGACACCATCCCTGCCCATCCTGGCTAATAGCTACTGATGGACCTATCCTCCATGAACTTATCTAGTTCTTTTTTTAACTTATCTAATACTTTCATGATTCTGGGAGTTTATTGTATTATTAATGATGTGTTAGGGCTCCTAGAGTCTTTGTTAGGCATTGTTTAAAATTAGCATTTAAATCTAAATAAATAAAAACAAATTTCATCCCCAGAATAAATAATTTATAAGATCTCAGGTCAATACAGCCTTTTCTTATACTCAAAGCAAGGACACATTCAGATCTATCTTTCTGATAGATTTTGTGAATCCCAAAATTTCAAAGTTGTGGATTTAGAATATACCAAAAAAGATCCCAATTTTTGAGATGCCTCTAAAAGGATAATTTTGTTTGCACTGCTGTGATATAAATACCATCTGCTTTAACTGTTTTAAAACAAAGTGCCTGCTTCTCAGAAAATGCCATCCCAATAAAAATATGCCTACATTTTGTATGTGATATTTGATATCTAAATCAATAATGCCAACTGGATTTCCCCAAAGACTTTATCAGCATCTGGCCTGTGGATTTAAAAAAAGGCTTTGGTTCATATCACTGCAAAGTGCCATAATCCGAATGAGCACAAACAGTCAGTAAACAATGGTAAAAAACCTACAAGAAAGCAAGAATTGTCCAAAAATCACAATTTAGCTCACACAAAATGTATTATATACTATGGGGCTAAATGAAACCACTTCACAATAATGTTTATGTCTCTGATCAAAAGACTGGAGGAGAAGTCAAGGCCTTAGACCCTTTATTGTGTTACTGAAAGCACAAGTAATCCCTTCTCTATTCAGCAATGGACTTAAATGTCTACTTAAGGCTCACTGACTTCAGTGGGACTACTCAGGTTCTTAAGTGCTTTACAGAATTAGGACACAAGTGCTGCGCTGAATCTGGGCCTTAAGCTCTGTGTTAGGGCATTAGCTACTATAAATCTAAGTAGTTCACAGTATCATAGACATTGGATGTGGAAGAATAGTCATGTATTCCATTGTCCTGCCAATGCAGGATTATTTCTAGAGCCCTGTGTTTTTCACAAATGTGAAATAACACGAAATAAAACAAAAAAGATTGTATACAAAGTTATAAAATTAAAAGCACACCCTCCAGTGGTGTCGCCTATCCCACAGGTCTGGGCCTGGATCCCTGCTCTGGGCGTTGTGACCTGGCCCACAGGGTTGCAGCGCTGCTCAAGTTTGGCCCAGCCGCCTCTCCATCATGATTCATAGATTCTAGGACTGGAAGGGACCTCGAGAGGTCATCGAGTCCAGTCCCCTGCCCGCATGGCAGGACCAAATACTGTCTAGACCATCCCTGATAGACATTTATCTAACCTACTCTTAAATATCTCCAGAGATGGAGATTCCACAACCTCCCTAGGCAATTTATTCCAGTGTTTAACCACCCTGACAGTTAGGAACTTTTTCCTAATGTCCAACCTAGACCTCCCTTGCTGCAGTTTAAGCCCATTGCTTCTTGTTCTATCCTCAGAGGCTAAGGTGAACAAGTTTTCTCCCTCCTCCTGATGATGGGGAAGCTGCTGGGTCAAGCTTGAGCAGTGCTGCAACCCCATGGGACAGGTCACAACACCTGGAGTAGGGAGCTGGGCCCATCCCCCCGGGATAAGAGCTACCACTGAGGGGTGAGTGTGGGGCAGGCTCACTCTCCATTACTGCCCCCTAGGGCAGGACCCCACCCCACCCCAGGGCTTCCACTTTTCCTGGGGCAGGATGACATGAACTAATGCAAAATTTCCAAAAAATAAAACAAAAAATTAAAGAATTTCACCTATTGGAGATTGTCTAATGCTTTATCCAGTCTCTAATTAAAAATGTGGCTTCTTCTTCATCCCTATAGACTCTTCCATTGCCTGACAGATCTCACTTATATTTTGCTTAGATTTTTCTCTTTCGTAATTTCATCCCATTACTCCTGGCCATCCCCTTTGTACCCCAAATGACGACTCATCCTGCTTGGTGTTTGTACCCAGGGCCGGCTCTAGGATTTTTGCCGCCCAAGGCAAAAACAATTTTGGCCGCCCCTCCTCCCCCCGTTTTTTAATTACCCCACCCCCGGCCCCGCCTCAACTCTGCCCCTTCCCTGCCTCCTCCCCCCAGGCTCTCACGCCTAGGAGGGAGGGGGAGAAGCAGCTCCCGCGCCGCGGCCACTCGGAGTCTCCCCCTCCCTCCCAGGTTTGAGAGGGGGAGACCCCGAGCGGCCGCGGTGCGCGAAACAGCTGATTCGCGTGCCGCTGCTCCCCCTCCCTCCCAGGCTTCAGAGCCTGGGAGGGAGGGCGAGTAGCGGCGCGCGAGCGGCAGCGGAGGTGCTAGGGCGGCCGGGGCACATTTTTAGGGGCGGCATTCTGGGGCTGGCTGTGCCGCCCCTAAAAATGTGCCGCCCCAAGCACCAGCTTGTTTTGCTGGTGCCTAGAGCCGGCCCTGTTTGTACCAGTCAGATCTCTGCAGCCATTTATCACATTCCCTCCACCCCCTTACTTGTTGGATAGCCAAATGATACATACAAAGCTCTTTTTATCTTCAGAAATAAGCCTCTTCAGACCCTGTATTCATGGTTTGGATCTAGGCTCCAAAACTACATTGCTGTATATTAACAATACCCATAGGAGAATTGAGACAGCCCTCTTGAAATAACAAAACTATACATTTTAGACTTCCCTTTTTAATCTTTGTCTCACTCTTGCTGCCTCCACCTTTCTTTCTTGACTTCTCTTCTCTATGTTGAGCCTCACTGGACGTAAGTATCCTTACTATAATAATGTAAATTCTAAATTCACCTAAACATTGAACAATATTTACTTTTAGCTTATGTTTAAAAGTCTGACTGTGAGACCCTCTGTTGGGAAGAAGTTGGTGAGCTTTGTTCCTGTCTTTTTGAATGCTCAGGAAGTGTATGTTGGCAAGGAGACCCTATGCACAATTGATGGCCTTCATTTCAACAGTACCTACAATGCAAGAGTCAAAGCTTTTAATTCATCAGGAGTTGGCCCTTATAGCAAGACAGTTGTTTTACAGACATCTGACGGTGAGTTTGTTTTAGATCATTAAAAAATAAAGAGCTCTGGTTTCTAGCGGCCAGGTATTCACGTTCCATCACAGCCACCACTATACTTGGCATTATGAGTTTTAATGAGGGGGCCCCAGGACTGAACGTGCCTAGAGACTGAGCTTCCCTCTCAGCCCTATATGCTGTGACTCCAGGACAGGACTGATGTACGTTAGTGGGGCAGGATGGGGATGCCCATACTCCTGCTGTTCCTTCTGTGGATAAATAGAAGATATCAGATCCCCTTTAGCAGACCTTGGCCTTGGTGAGTGTACATGTGATTTCCATGTGCACACTTTCCAGCAGTAGTATGTGTGTGCAGATTTGTGGAGTCTACCACTTGCACACAGAGTTAGGGTCAGTTGGGTACATGCACAGGATTTAGTGCTGGGAAAGAACTTGTGCAACTGTAGCTGCACGTAGCCAGCGGCTATGTTATGCCCTCATTGAAAATCAAGCCTGCAGTCTCTGAGGTTCTCCATCCAGCCCTGGCCTTTCTTCTGCCGCAAATACTCAAAAATGATAAAAGAAAAATAAAATACAGCTCTTTAGACTCTTGGCATGTTTTAGTTATTGGCAGCTCTCCAGGTTTCAAATGTTACAAGTGCATTTGCCTGTCAAGGCTTTGGGTTTAATTAAAATCGTGTTTGCTCTAGAGTACATAGTCATTTACACTACACACTGTGAATATCTATATGCCACTCCTTGTCTCCACCTCTCTCTCTGTGTCTTTGGTGTTTCAGTGTTTTCTTCACTACTGATACTAATTTCACAAGAGTGTTTGATAAGACTTGGGTGGTAATTCATGCTGTGTTCCCATCTAATTACACTTGACATCCATATGGGCACCACAAGAAGTTCATCTTGATTAATAATACTGTAAATTAATCCTGAAGCAAATACCATAATCATGCTCTGTATTTATATAGTGTTGTCAAACTATGTCAGTATAAAATATTTAGATGTAAAGAATTTTTTTAAAATGAAGTGAAACCCAGTTATGATGAGCTTGGACACACAATGAAACAGTAATTCCAGTAGAGACAGGCCTGAACCAAATCCCATATTTGAACATCCCCAGACTTTGGGCAAGTCCAGAGCCAAATTATTTTTCTCTCTTATTTGTGCAGCAGTAATTTGCTCAACAATGTACCAGACCCAAACAGAGACACTTCTTCAGGGAGCTTACATCCCAAAAGACAGACCCAGATAGGACAAAACACATTGGCTGGTTTACAGTTATATAGCACCTTTCATCCAAATAGATTGAAAAATGCATTGCAAATTTTACTGATTATGTAAATGACATAAAACATTTTTACTTTTCTCCTCTGACTGAAATGCAGTCATCTCTGAGGTGAAACAGACTAGTTTAGAACAACAAGGAAAGAATATCTTCTCCACTTGAAAGTATGGTGGGAATTTAGGAGGGCAGAAACGTACTTAAAATAAAGCACAATTAAATTTTATTGCATCCTTTCCTGCTATTGAGCTGCCTTTATTCTTCCTGCACAGTGGCCTGGTTCACCTTTGACCCCTCTTCAGCCCATCGGGACATAGTCCTATCGAATGACAACCAGACTGCCACTTGTAGTAGTTATGACGATCGTGTTGTTCTGGGCACAGCGGCCTTCTCCAAGGGAGTACATTACTGGGAACTGCATGTGGATCGTTATGATAACCATCCAGATCCGGCTTTTGGAATTGCCAGAATTAATGTGGTCAAGGACATGATGCTAGGAAAGGACGACAAGGCATGGGCCATGTATGTTGACAACAACCGCAGCTGGTTCATGCATTGCAATTCTCATACAAGTCGGTAAGCTCTGATCATGGACTTTTCTTGTGGCTTGATTCCCCCCCCCCCCTTAAGTACAACATATTTTAAAGATTCTGCATTCCTTTTCATTGAAGCAGTGGGAAAGGTGATTTCATTCCATTCCTCAGGATTCTTTGTGGTCACAAGGCAGTATAGCAATTAGGCAAACGCTAGCACCAATTGCAGTTTGTTCAAAATGAAGATGTTTACTGGCAGTACTGAAAGCTGATTAAACCCAGTGATAGGCTATGCCCAGGGGTGATTTGAGGACAAGGACAGAGGAGGAATTGCCTTACTGATGAACAGTGACCAGTCTGCCTTATTAAGTAGAGGTATTGAATGGGATTCTTTGCAAAGCCTGTCAGTCTTCTTCAGCTAGAAGACTAGTGGTTGTAATGGAAAGTTGCTAGGACTGAAGGCACAAACTGGAGAAAATTTGGGGGTCCTTATCTGGGAATTGGGCAGTTGGGGGCTGGAGATAGTCTAAGGCTGAAATACTTAACTCCCCTTCCTATCACTGTGGAGATTGGCATTTATGTATTCTGCACCCTGGTTTTGTCAGGAAGATTTTCCCAGCATCAGCCAGCGTGTAACAGCCAATATCACAATACTGTAATTCCTGGAAATAATATGGCCTTCAGAAATGGAGGCATGGCTGGGAGGAATGCTGTGTAGAGTTAGTAATCAAAAGTGTGGGCAATCAAACAATAATTAAAAGATTTACAATTTAAGTCAGTAAAGTTACATGAGGGTTGAATTTGGGTCTAGGAGTATCAGGTAACTCTCAGGAGTGCTATGATGGTTCATATAAGTTTTGTTAGGGTAAATTGCAGACACGACTGCTCAGTGAAATCACAAGAAATATTTCTAACCAAGTGGCATGATTAGAGTTCGCTATTCATGTCATGATGTTTGACTTGATTGAATCACTGGATAATGCTGTTTTTCATAGAACCATAGAATCAAAGGACTGGAAGGGACCTCGAGAGGTCTTCTAGTTCAGTCCCCTGCATTCAAGGCAGGACTAAGTATTATCTAGAATTTTATTTAGTTACAACATTTGTGAGACTAAGAAAAGTAATTTACATTATCATCATCATACGTTATTTTGAGTCTTCTGATTATTTTTATTTGGTTGTCCACATCTTTGATTTCTAACTTTATATTCTAACTACACAGCCAGGACCACCTTCTCTGAACGGACATATTATTCCCACAAAATTACAACAGCATGTAGCAGAGTGAATTTGGCCATTCTGTCTGTACCAGTGTTCCTCAGCGAGTGGGTCGTGACCCATATGGGGGTCATGAAAGTCAATCAGGGGTGCCAAAAGTTGTCAATGGGATGTAGGCAGCACCTAAGGCACTTTAGTGCTTTTGAAAAGCTTGAGTATTATTAACCCTATTTTACAGGTACACCTCTACCCTGATATAACGCTGTCCTCGGGAGCCAAAAAAATCTTACCGCGTTATAGGTGAAACCGTCTTATATCGAACTTGCTTTGAGCTGCCGGAGTGCGCAGCCCCAACCCCCCCGGAGCACTGTTTTACCGCGTTATATCCGAATTCATGTTATATCGGGTCGCGTTATATCGGGGTAGAGGTGTATGGGAAATTGACACACACACACACACACAGATTGTAACTTGCCCAAGGTCACATAGCAGGTCTATGGCAGAACCAGGAATAGAACCTGGTTCAGTGTCCTATTTACTGGACCACACTGCCCCTCCTCACCCCACTATCTTGAATATTTTTTCCTTAAAACCAATAATTAAGAGAGTCTTACAGTGATCTTGAAAAGGCTTGTTTATAATGTTATCTTTTTTTAGATATTAAAGGGATACTTACCTCATAGTCACAATACCTTAAAGTGGGTTTCTATATCTCCTGTAGCACATACTGATATTCTAATATGTATTTGTGTTTTAAAATATACCACAGTTGCTGAAAAATGTTTAAAGCAAAGGCCACTGCCAGAACATGACCTAGCAAAACTGCTGCAAAGTTATCCAGCAAACCCTGTTCCCAGAACTGTGGATGGCCAGAAAACAAGAGTTCAATTTTTTTTTTTTTTTTTGTGTGTGAAAAGTTTTGAATTTTCAACATTTTATTTTGTTACCCATTGGAATGAATACTAGATATTTCAAAAAAAATTGGGGGTGAGAGGACCCCCCCCCCTCCAAGAATTGCCAGTAGCCCAGTGGTTATTAGGCCTTCACTCGGGATGTTAGAAGATGTAGATTCAATTCCTGAAACAAATCAGGTGAAGCAGGGACTTGAGCCTGGGTCTCTGGCATCCCAGGTATTCTATCCACTAGACTATTCATTCTCCCTGTGGTTTAATTCCAACTTGGACCCGAGAAAGTTTTGTTGAAACAGATACGTTCCTGCAAAAAGTTTCAGTTTTGATGAATCATCATTTTCCAACAAAGTGATTTGTCAAAAAACTCTTGACCATTTCTATTGTGAATATCATCTGTATATTTGTCTCTGTTCTAATTTATAATGCAGCCATCACCACGTTATAGGCAGCATCACAAATGACATGCATGACAACAAAAAAGTATTTTTTAAAAAGCCATCTTGGCTTCTGGGCCATTATAGATTGGCAAAAGAATTTAAGGGCTGAGCCAAAGTCTACTGAAGTCAATGGAAATTTTTCCGTTGACTTCAGTGGGTTTTGGCTCAGGCCCTAAACCAACATAGAATAAAATAACAAAATGTGATAAATTATATGAAAAGATATTTGTCTCTGCCCCTTTAGTGCCTTGATTGGATTTAGAGCAGAAGTAATTTTAAGCAGTAAAAAAATTAGTGGTCCATGAAATAGCTGATGGTTTCTGAAAAAATGCTGGCAAATAGTCTGTGTGACACTGTCCTAGAAACCTATTTTATGGATTCAATCCTTGGAGTGTTGTTATAGGCAAGCACTCTGTATTGCTTGGCCGCTGAAGAGCTTAGCAAAAGCTTTTTTTCCATGGACAGCAAACAATGGACACATTTTGACTTTCTGATCACTCTGCCTAAACGGGAGAAAAAAATAGCTTCCATGGATGGAGAATTGCCAGCTGTTACAGGAATATCTTAAAAAGGGACAGACTCATGGAGTGTTCACTAGAGTGGAGCATAACTGTGGAGTGCACATTTTTTTAACATACATGCACTTTAATGGTATTAGCGCTAGGCATTATATTTTTAACCACGGCAGCCAAGTAGGTCATTTTGTTAACCCACTAGTTTCAATAGTCTTTTAAAAACAGTAGAATCTGCTTAACTGTCACTCCCCAGTGGAAATAGAAATATACCACTGAGCTATCATATATTTAATAAAGCTATTAAAGTCTGTGAGGGTTACAGATACTATGGTAATGGGGGCCATTATAATTCTAGATATCTAGAGACCAATTGTTTCAGCTTTCACAAATTTTATAGGACTGTATTAGGCTGTTAGATAAATGAGTGAGTCTGAAAATAAACATGGTCAAAAGTCCTAATCCTGGAAATTGCTAAATTCGTTTTGCAAGGTGGCAGCACCCTCAGGTTTCATTGATTCAGCATCTTGCATAACTGTGCCCTAAAACATTTTTTTTAAAAACCAACAGAAGATGGCTGATTAATTTTAGTAGCCGCAGCAGAGCAGGGAATCAGTCTTTCATGAAGGAAAAGAAGTACAGAAAAAGAGGTACAATAAACTTAGGCTAGCAGATATCAATTCACATTTGTTAACTACTGGGAATAGGTGCACAGACACCCCAGGTGTGCCATGTGTCCATTGGCTAGAGCCACTGGAGTTCATTGCAATGGAGCTGTTCCCTGGCAAGGTTCCCAAGTAAAGGAATGCATACATTGCAATGTATATAAAATTCCAACCACTGCAACAAATTGCAGAGAAGAAAAAAAATCACTAAGAAGAGTTTGTGTCTGGCGCACCTTCAAAATGAATAATTAACCATCAGATGGGAAAAGCCCCATCTTGAGAACTTGGGACAGAAATCGGTAGGCGTCTCTTAATTGATTTCAATGGGCTTTTATCAGGCTGTTGAAGAAGCAAAGTAGGAGTGAAAAGAATCAGCCTTGCAGTTAAAAATCAGAAAGTATTCAAATTATTGTAGGGTAGGTTTAGAAGACAAAGACCAACTTAATTGTTAAACCAATTTTTACATTAACTAAAAGGTGTTTTTAAAATGTTATGACCTGTGTTACAGGAACTTTGAAACTTTCTGCCATTTTCTAATGATCTAGCCAATTGTTTCAGACCTATTTTGCATCATCAATTTGGCCATTCCCCTGCTGGGAAATATTCTAAAGTGGCAGGCTCCACTGAGAGACAACAGCATTATTCATGGAGGGCCAGATTCCTCCATCTTTACTCACAAGCAGTAGTGCCTTCTGGGATTTCTCATGGAGTAAGGTACTACTCAGTGGTCCTAAATCTGCAAACACTCATACACATACTTAACTTTACACATGTGACTAAATAATCCAACAGGACCAGAGTCAATGTGAGTAAGGGTGGCAGAATTGGGACCTAAATGGAAATGCTGAAAAATTGGTGGATATCTCTACAAAGAAAGATTCTCATCCAGTAAATATTTATTTAGCTGCCTAAAGTATTGTAACAAATTGCTGCTGTTTCCGTTAAGTGGTCATGCAGATTGTTAAGACACTAAGTGGCTTCACGTAAAATGTAACATGCATTATCTCATATATAATAATTAAAACAAGTATGGAGTTATAAAAAGGAATTACACTAGAACTATCAGCTGGTCTCAAAAATTAGATCAACCCAGCTATGTCACTCAGGGATGTGAAAAAGCCACACCACTGAGGGATGGACTTAAGACGACGTAACCCCCGGTGTTGTTGAACTAGCTACCACCTCTTGAGGAGGTGGATTAACTATGCCGACGGGAGAACCTATGTAACTGTGTTTTGTCTGTGGCTGCTGCTTAACAAGAAACATTTTGGATGTGGCCTGGTGATCTGATTAATGAAAGGGCATGGTAGTTCTGTGCTGTGTATTATTTAAGGCCATAATTACATGAGTTCAGAGTCTGTTCAGCCAATTGGTTTCTAAGTTATATCCAAAGCATTCAATCAGAAAAAACCTAAATGCTAAAGCTGCAAAATAAAGCACTCAGAAGTCAGGAAATGCCATGGTAAAGTTTGTCCATGCAACTTTCACTTTCCCACCATTCTCCATCATTAGAGTGACTGGGAGATTGGTCTCAAAAGCAATGGACCACCAAGAGGTGTGTAGCTTTTGTGGGAACCATCAGAAACACAGGGAAATCTGCACTGAGACCCTTTGCCTTTGCAGTGGCTCCCTCTCCCCTGCAGCCCTCAGCCATGATGTTAGAGAATCCCCTCTCTGCCTTTGCCCCTCTAATAAATTGCAGAAATTGTTCCAAATTGCAGCGGGGAAGTGGTTAATGCTGACAGAGTATTAGTAACTTACCTGCTCAAGACCTGTGGGTTTGGTGGGAGGATGATGATGCTGGAAAGTGGGAATACCTCCCACTCTGCCCTTTTCCATATGATAGATCATGATCTCAGGGAGGGGTTTCCGTTCAGTTATGGGCTGGGGGAACACTACTGCAGAGGCAGCACTCCTCATTTCCAGCCTGCAAGCAGGGCTTTTCTGGGCTTTCATACCCTCAGTCTGTGGAAGTGCAGGGACCTATGGCTCTGTGTCATTGTTTAGCACAAGGGTTCTCAGCCTTTTTCTTTCTGAGACTGCCACAGCATGCTATAAAAACGCCACAGCCCACCAGTGCCCCAACAGCTGTTTTTCTGCATATAAAAGCCAGGACCAGCATTAGTGGGTAGCAAGCAGGGCAACTGCCCAGGGCCCCATGCCATAGGTGGCCCTCTGAAGCTAAGTTGCTCAGGCTTCAGCCCAGGGTAGCGGGGCACAGGACCTCAGGCTTCAGCCCCATGTGGTGGGGCTTTGGCTTTCTGGCCTGGGCCCCAGCAAGTCTAATACTGGCCCTTGTTGGCACCCCCCTGAAACCTGCTTGCGGCCCCCCCAGAGGGCCCCAGACCCCTGGTTGAGAACCAGTGGTTTACCACACAATTCATTAGCCTCAGAGAATCAATTAACTTCTTATATAAGTAGGAGCATAATACCATCAAAAAGGGTGAAGCTTAAATTTCTGCTCTTGGAGAGGATCAATGTTTCTGCTAAGTGACATTTTAAAAGATGACAAAGTATATTTAAAAACTCAGCCGTATGCTGCAGGATGTAAAGCTGGACAAAATTTGTAATCAAGTCAGGTACTAAGAGGGGAAAAAATATGATCCATCAGAAAAATATCTCTGTTATCTCAGTGTTACCAGTTCTTGCAATTTTTATCATGAGTCTTGCAATATTTGGTGTGCGTTATTTTTTTTTTTAAAGACTCTGGATTCATGTAATTAGGTTATGAAAATCTCATCTTGCATTTTAAAAAAATGTAGGTTTCTAGCCCTCCTGGTTACAGAGCAAATCTTGAAAACATGATCCCGAGTGACTATTACACTGGGAGGCAAAAAAAAGAATCCCATAGTTATTATTTTGTGTTTTTTTTAAACTGATTTCATGATTAGGTGGGGGGACTAATTCTTGAGTTTTGAATGGAATACTGGTATTGTCTGAAGAGATTTCATTAGGGAAAGAATGTGCCATGTTCTCATTATCAGCCCAATCCTATTTCCACTGAAGTCAGTAGGAAAACTGCCTTTGAGTTCATGGGGAGCTGGGCTGAGCCACGCAATGGTCTAATCATGTGGTTTTCAATCTGTGGTCTGAGAACTCCTGGAGGTCCACACACTGTGTCTAAGGGAGTCCACGAAAGGTTGTCTGCCATAGAACAGTGGTTTTCAACCTGTGGTCCGTGGAACCACTGGGGGGCCACAGACTATATCTAAGATTTCCAAAGGGTTCAGCACCTCCAGTTAAAATTTTGTAGGGATCCGCAAATGAAAGAAGGTTTTAAACCACTGGTTTAATCTAAAGAAAACTATCTTGTGCCACCTGGTGGACAAAACTAAAACAGCCATTACCAATAATATCAAATTTCCTGCTCCACATATTTGGCCCTAATCATACTTTTCAGATTGGCATGCATGTTATTGTTGATCACTAGACATTCTGATGAATATTACATTAAAATTGTGTTTATTCTGTGAATTGAGGGGGGGTTGTTTTCTCTTCTGCTGTAAATTTTTAAAAATATTATAAACACTGAATCTATGCACGTCAGGCTATAATTCCCTTGCAGAATTCCAGTGACATTAAAAGCTTCAGCACCTAGGGCCAATCCACATATCTAGTGGTTTTCTAGCTCCATGCTCTTCAAAGTAGTATGATATTGGGCTAGCCTAGTCCTTAAAGGACAAGTGCATGAATGTCAGATTATTCTTGCGTATAAGAGTTGGCTGAATCTGTCATCATGGTAGGACTCTGGTGCTACAGTAGCTCTCAATAGCTGCTCCTAACACAAATGATCATCTCCCCCACCACCACCAAACCCCCAACACTTGAAACAGCTCCTAGCCCAATAACTCAACACTCTCAGTCCCTGAACAGGCTCCCACTTCTAGCCACCAGCTTAGTGCAGTGAGGGAGCATACCCCTAATCAGCTTCTACTTCCACCTTGAACCAGCTCCTGCTACCCCTGCATTGGCACCATGCCCTCTGGCAAATCAGGCCTCTTTAAGGTATCTTCAGTGGGACACCCAAAAATGGAGACACTCCAAAATCACTAATCATTTTTGAAAACCTTATCCGAGTGCTGTTAATCAATAAAAACAAACTTTGCTTTTTCATCTCTGTACCACATCACACACAATGTCACAAAGCCATTTCTGGGTGCCGAACTCTCAAGTCCCCTGATCTATGCACTTCATAGTAAAGTGAGCCCATTCCCCCCCAGCTGAGGGCAGCCTAAATTGTCTGCTATTTTTGGACATAATTTTTAGGTCCTGGCCTGCAACTAGAGCGACAGGCACCAACTCCATGGGTGCTCCATGGCTGGAGCACCTATGGGGAAAAAATAGTGGGTGCTCAGCACCCACCAGCGGTACCGCTGATCCACTCCTTCCCCTTCCCCCCAGTGCCTCCCACCCACCGGTGATCAGCTGTTCAGTGGTGTGCAGGAGGCCCCGGGGGGTAGGGGAAGGAGCGAGTGTGGGGCACACTCAGGGGAGGGGGCGGAGCAGGGGCGGGAACAGGTGGGGTGTGGGTGGGCCTTTGGGGGAAGGAATGGAGTGGAGGTGGGGCCTGGAGCAGAGTGGAGGTCAAGCACCCCTGGGGAAAGCAGAAAGTCGGCACCTCTGACTAGAGCAGAGTAGATCCCAATTGCTAGCTGTGATAACCAAATTAAAATAGAATTAATGTTGTGTATTTGGTTCAGGCAAAAAGGGATTTCACCAGTTATAAGCTACTGTCTGTTCTTACAATCTATCTTATAAAGAGTTCAATGTGCCGCCCTATCTGAGACCTCGAATGCACATTAACATTTAGGTCAGTTCCTGCAGCCTTTACTTATGTGAACAATCCTGTGGATTTCAATGAAAGCCCTTAGGATCAGTTCTTTATTAATATGAACATATTCCCTCCAGAATGTGAGGTCTGAAGAGTACTGGTTTCAAACAATAACTTTTCCGTCCTCAACGTCTCTGCTCTATCCTGTTAGTTTAACTCCCCCTTTCTCTGTCAAGCCCTTTGAGCTTTTTCAGCTCTGCCAAAATGTACCCACTGGGTGGATATGACCTTATGGGGCCTCATTTCTCAGGGCTGCCTGCATTTAGTGGAAAATGGGAACTACGCATGGAGAAAAGGCCTTTAGCAGATGTCCTCCAACTAATACTAATTTTACCATGCTGCTCCACTTTCCTTTCACTTCAGTAAGATTGGCTGAAATAGAGAGAGGCTGGAATGTAACAATCTGCCTCCTCTAAGATGGACAATACGGTCACTTTGTTTCTTAGGACAGAAGGGGGTGTTTCTAAAGGTGCCACTGTGGGCGTTCTCCTGGACCTAAACAAGCACAGCCTGACCTTTTACATAAATGGGCAACAGCAAGGACCTCCAGCATTTGAAAATGTGGAGGGTGTCTTCATGCCTGCATTAAGCCTCAACCGAAATGTACAGGTAAATCCTTTTCAGTTCAGTCTAACTCATTCAGCATGTCAACCAAAGGAGAAATCCTACTGCCTGTTAAAAGTTATTGCATGACTGCCAGAGAGAAGAGATCGAGATGCAGCTGTTAGGTGTAAATACGGATTTTTTTTTCCACTTTGCCTAGTTTTGTTTGCTGATTGTATCTGGGCTAGTGCCACTTTTTAAAAGAAAATAGTTGGATTTAACTTTTTTGTATCACATCTCAGATATAGGGAAATGATGCTTTAGAAATAATAAATAGGTACACACACACACACACACACACACACACGCCTGGTGGTAAATAAAGCTAAGAAAATGTAGGTCAAAGAATGTCTAGTTTGAAAGAGAAGACCCAGTAAGCATTTAATTCACACTCTTTAATTCATGACATTTGGAAACACTAATATATTCTCTGAGGTTGATGGTGTAAATGTAATTTATGCTAACCCAGGTTAACGCTCCTTTGTACTGCTAGAATGGGGCTTTAATGTAACGGAGAATCAGATCCTACATGTGCCCCAGCACCTGAAAGGCTGGAGGGTTCATGTTACGCCAACCTGAATCCACAATAACCAAGTGTGGTACCTGCGTGGGTAGAGAGACTGCCGGACCTCATAAGTCTCTTCCCTCTGACTTGGGTTGCCTGCATGTTGGTTTAACCCCAGCTGGTTCCTCTTTTTCTCCAAGGGTAGAGAGTCCTTCATTCCAAGGATGTCACGTGACAGCAATAAACTCCCACTAAACAGTCCAGGCCCAATTACAGCTACATTTATACTAGATACTGTTCACTGAAGGAAGGAAGGAAGGACATGAAAATCCCACTAGGCACCTATCTGTCTCTTTAGGCACCTAAATTCCTTTAAAAATCTGACCCATAGTTCTTCCCCCACAGATCATAAAATCTAAATAGATCAGACAGACACACGGTACTAGGAAAATGACATTGAAGTTACATGGCTTGTTAGTTAGGGCCTTTCTGGTAGTTATAGTGCTGCAGTCCAATTCCTCCCATTACCCAGGCGCCCCAGCCAGTCTGCTACACCACTGCTGTCACAACATGCCCTCCATTCACTCTGCCCTGCCCATGGAACTAGATGCAGACGAGGGGGCGGGGGAGAACCCTTTTGTGAGTTTAAGCTTGAGAGAGCTCCTGGGAGGTGCTCAGATCCTACAGTGATGGGTGCCATTGTAAGAACCCTGGTAGATGACAGCGGTGTCGGGCTATGGTGAGAGCTGTAAAACCTCCTCTGTCCTACACTGACAGGGTAGCAGGGAAAGGTCTACCAGACTCTGCTTTGTATGCTTCAGAAGACCCTCTCCCCAGTCTGCTTTCCACCTGCCTCATAACCCCTTGGTCACCCATTCCATCTGGGGGCACCCTTCCTGGTGACAAGAAGCAGCTGGCTCAGCGGTGGCTGATAAATGGATGCTAGCCTTGGAAAGAGTCACAAACACCTGGCAGCTAGACTCAGGGCAAGTCTACACTTAAAAAGCTGCAGTGCCCCACCAGTGCAGCTGCGCTACTGTATCGCTTTAGTGAAGATACCACGCTACTACGCCGACGGGAGAGCTTCTCCTGTCAGCGTAGTTAATCCACCTCTGCGAGAGGCAGTAGCTATGTCGGTGGGAGACGCTCTGTCTACTTCGGGGGTTAGGTCGGTATAACTGCGCCACTCAGGGGTGTGGATTGTTCACACCCCTGAGCAACGTAGTTATACCAATGTAAGTTTGTAGTGTAGACCTGGCCTCAGGGGAAGAATCATTTGTACATTGGGCCTCCCCTGGTGACATTAGCTTTTCACCATTAACCACATATTCTTGGCCTTCACAAACTCTTTGTACTAAAGATGTTCCAATTTGTATTTTAACTAAGCAATTATTTCTTTTCTGCATAGGTGACTCTGCACACAGGACTGGAGGTGCCACAGAGTGTAAGACAGCCAAAGCTGCCCAGTAACTAACTGAGCTCCTGCTGCCTAACCCTATGCTGGATTTTGTAATCTTTCTAAATACAATTTGTCATTATTCGCTGTCAGTAGAAAAGCAGTGTCATCTCTAAATTAGACTAACACTTACGCAGAACATTGCTAACTAGCACTGTGTGATCTGATAATTAATATTAATCCACATCCATTTTTAATTTTACACTGGTAACAAGAATGCTTATAGAATGTTTTTTTTTTATTACAATGGGTGTGCATTCCTGCATTTTAGTACAAAAGCACATATATACAGCACACTACAGACACATAGTGACAGCTAAAATGAGCACATTTTCCCTTTCATAATTGGATCTGCGCTTCACATGATTATTGTGAATAGATGATTAACAGTGAGGGCAATTAACCATCGGAACAATTTATCTAGGGAGGTGATGGATTCTCCATCACTTGAGTTCTTTAAATCAAGACTGGTTATCTTTTAATAGCTATGCTATAGTTCAAACAGAAGTTATGGGCTTGAAGCAGAAATTACTGGGGGAGGTTCATTGCCCTGTGTTATGCAGAAGGTCCCTTCTGGCCTTAAATGCATTTATTAATTATGCTCCCACTGACTTCAATGGCAACAAGATTAGGCCCTACGTACTTTTATACAAAATTAGTGCTCATTTTAGTTAGCACTAGGGTATATACCTAGTGGGGGTTAAAACTGCTCAATAAACCTTAGTGCTTCTCATTTCAGTGTGACTGCAGTGGCTTTTGGTTTCACAAACAGGAGAACTCATTTCAGTTACCAGCAACAATCGTCTTCTGAAAAGGGAGCAGAGGAGAGTCCAGAGAAGTGATCACAGATGTTTCTTTAAAAATGGTATACACAAAATAGACTGTGTTGGGAAGAGGAGTGATACTTTATAGCCTTGATCCTGATAGGTGCTGAGCACCTGCAGTGCCCGTAGACTTCCCTGGGAGCTGTGGATAGGCAACATCTCTTGGGATCAAAGGTCTTAATTTCTACTCAGCCGGGATGAACTAATTAAGGCCCTGATCCAGCAAAGCACTTAAGCATGTGCTCAAATGCTTTGCTGAACTGGGGGCCTAAAAATCTTGTAGGTTTTGACTTTATCCTGCAACTCAGGAATTTTGTGGTCACCTGAAACGTATGAAAATGAGAAGCCTTGTCAAACGGCATCCACAAAAGTAAGCGACTGATTGGCCACTGATGGTTTCAATCCATGGCAATACTAGACAGCACCTTTGCCAGCATGCGTCAGCAGTAAATATTTTGATTCTCAATTTCTTTCTCTCTCTCAACAAAATAATGTGTGCATGTGTTTATTTTTCTGAGGGAAGAGTGGTTAACTGAGCTAATTTATAGTAGCAAGCCCCAACAGATTGCATCATGACACTGCACCTAGAACTCTGCCCTCATGATCCAGCCTAAATGTGGTGCTAATACACAGAAACACCATAGCCTGCTGCATACTATTGTTATACTATTTCCTTTTTAATCATGCTTCCTACACACACACATCTGTACACATACACATGTGTACGCCCATGCCCTTTATATATATATATATATATATATGGCACACAGATTTTAATATGTTGTGTGGTCAGTATACCTGAAAAGCAATTTTTAAACCAAAATTCCAGCTCACTGCCTTGTGTAAAACTTTAGGCACAGGTCTATCCAAGGAGCTCTTCGTGGATGGGATGCTGGAAATCAGGCACATTGCTGCAGGCGCACATATGATCTCCAGCTTAAGTGCATTCCCCACTACAGGTAATACCAAGTGATGGCAGATTCCACTGTGACAGAGGGTCTTGCACTTCTGGTTACAGGAAAGATGCCATCATAATGAACAGCCATTGGGGAAGGATGAAAAATGGGGTATTAGAGCAACCCAGAATGAAGTAGTAAGTCAAAAGCAATCTATAACCATCTGTGCAGGATGTTTATATCCACCCATTCATTTTACCCAGCCTCCCCTTACAGAACAGAAATGTAGCTTCTTTTATATCACAACTGAACTAGAAAGCATAACAGAAAAAAAAAACCCTCAAACTGTTAAGTGAAAGAGCAGATATGCTTTCCTCCAAGACTGCGATATGTTCTATTAGTGCATTTTAAGACATGGAAATAACTGTGGTGTATTAATTTCAATTTGTTAAAAGTTTAGCAGAGATCAACTGTGTTTTCTTTGTCTGTTGTTTTTAAATACCATCTGACCCTGTGCAGGATTTTTTAATTCAGTGGGTCTGTTTTAAGCCTACCTCAGCTAGAATGCTACAGGACCCTGAATTTCCTCTTGAGTGTGCTCATTGTAAAGTTGTCTTCTGCTAACGTAGAAGTTGTAACAGTAGCCTTGGCTTTGAGTACAGCTTTACCGAGCAGCACATGGGAATGGTGTGTTTTAAGTTGTATATGGATTTTTATACTACGTAACATCTTGTGACAATTTTGATACAAGAAAGCACTCCACTTTTACTTTTCTTATTAAAAACAAGAGCACTGATTGTATAGGACATAAGGACTGAACTTTTATCTTTACTCCGAATATCTGTGAAGTAAAATTCACATGAATTTAAATCCTTCCAGTCCACAACCACTGCCAGCTGTTTAAAGTGAATTCTGAAAGGGTTTTGGAATTGCTTTTGATATCTACGTTTTTGTTTTTCATAAGTGCTTCTGTATCATTCCTTGTGTGTCACTCCTCAGGGTGCAGTTGAAGTTGATTTTTCTTTTTATTAATGAAAAATACAGACTGATACAGGTTTCAAAGAGCTAATGAAATGTGGTAGGGGCACGCTCCAAATTTGTGCAGAAACACATGGACCTCTCCATTGCTGTTCTCTACACATTCCAGCACTGGTAAAAGTGTGATGCAGACTAGTTTAAACTGCAGTCCCCTTCCAACCTAGAGAAACTGCAGAATGGAGCAATTAGAAATATATTCCTGTATTAACATTGTCAGTTTTAATTGGACTAAGTCTATAGAGGGTGAGTCTATTTTTGGTTGCGTATGTGTTTTAAGGACTTATGTTTGAAACTAGACCAAGTTGCCCTTATAAAGAAAATTTTAATGACTTAAGCTGCATGCATTTTGGTAGCTTGTCTAACAGTGGTAATGAAAAAATAATTAGAACTAGACTATGAGATTAGTTCTGCATTTGAATACACATGCGGAGCTCCCATGGATTTCAGTGGGAACCTCATGTGTATATGTGAGGGCAAAATTTGTCCCTTTAAGACCAGCACTGCATGAGGAATGAAAGCAATTCACTCCTCTGTTCAGGCTGGAAGTAATTCACTCCACTGCAGATCACTAACACAAGGCCCTTCCACCCACAAAGCCCTGCAGGCTCTGTGTTCCTCTTCTCAATATCTGTGCACAGAGGGGAGCCTGTGTCTGTAGAAAGTGGGGGGAAGGGCAGTCTCACCTCAGGCGCATACTCCTCTCCCTTCCACTTCCCCCAAGCACCTCCTTGGGGCTGCAGCTCTGCAGGCCTTCAGGGGCTTAGGGACCTACCTAGGCTCCTGCAGCTTCTTCTCACACAAGCTGTGGGGAATACAATTTAAAAGTAAAACAGTCTTTCGCTGAATTAACTCATGTTGCCACTACCCCCAACCCCTTCTTTAGCAGGAAGCCCATGGGAGTATGGTTCTCGCAGAAGTTGGGCTGTTGATGGGCCAGGAAGGACCAGGATGGTAGACCAGGGACAAGGGAGTCCATCTGGGATGCCCTTTGCTTCCTTGAGATCTGTGTAGATCTTTGGGGGTCATGGGAGATCAAGCTTCCAGCTTCTTGTGTGTGTGAAACTCTGCCTCCTGGCCAGCTGGACAAGCATAAAAGATCTCTCATGGAGTTTCCTCTTCTCCCCTGGGACAGTTTATCCCAGGTGAGGGACAGCAAGGCCTTGGAATAAATCTTACCTATTACAGTTTGCCTGCCTGGGTGCAGACTGCACAAGACCGAGGTAAATTGATTTACAGAGTTTAAAAAAAAAATCTTGACCCCTGAGAGCTTAAATTCTGTTTAAATTAAAAAATTCAGGCATTGACTCCTGAATCCACACACTTGGATTGTCTCTACCACTGTGAAAGAAAAAGACTACGGTTTGGAGAGTGACAAGGGTCCCTTATAATTTCCATCACACCGCTGTGTGATCCAGAACATTACCCCTTGTAAGCCTTCCTCTACAGATTTCCCCAGTATGTTCAGTAAAACAATTAGAAAACTTGTGCGGCTGTAGAAAGTGGCGGGAGAGGAGTTTCACCTCAGGACCATGCTCTTCTCCCCTCCACTACCCCAAGAACCTCTGTGGGTTCCAGCTCTAAAGGGCCACACACCATTGTCAGAGCCACACACTGTTGTAGGCCTATGCAGCCACTACTGGCTTCTTTTAATTAGATCAGTTCAAAAGAAGCTCACACAAAAGTGTTGCTACAACCTGGTCAGTTTGCACGTGGGCCTGTCAGACAATCCCTTGTTATTTCTCATTTTAAAAGGTACATAAAAAGTGCGTAATATATATCTTTAAAATGTAAGTGTTAGTGAAGAGAGCTGTGATTTATCCAGAATTTGTAGTGCAATTTGGCTTCTTAAATTTAGAAAAGACAGGTGAAACCAGTGTCGTCTCCCATTATAGCCTATATAATTAAAGAGAGCTATAGAGGACAAATATACTTATATAGGACTGAAGGAAAAAAATTCATGAGATTACATATATCAGAATTTAAGAGGAAAAGTATTAATGTAATTTATTATATACATAATATTCCATCATATTGTAAATAAGAACATTGTAATGTATTGCTGTAATTGGTTTTTGGCTGGTAATCTGTTGTTGTTCTGTAGGTGTTGTGGGGTTTGTTTGTTTTTTTTTTTTTTTTAAGTGTAATTAAAAAAGATGGCAAAGAGCACTGGAGACCCTAGTTTCTTAGATGTTCTAGAGCAAGAAGAAATGTGATATACAGTTTTTTTGCCTTCTTACTTTAATATGGAGATTATTGAATAAACTAGGTTAAAG